GCCTCATGATCAGTCATAATCAGCTAGTCTGGCAATACATTTATTTATGATTTATGATTTATGATTTTTGATTTTTAAATCTTAATATAAACGGTGTTATCTGTTGGACTGTGACAGATATGAGATCAGAAATTCACACACTGTTATCTTCAACCATTGCTTTCTGCCTTGAACACATGCTTTATTTCACTATATATTTTGACATTGGTTAGCTCGCAAGCAAATTTTAAACAGACTATATGCTTAGAATGTGTACTCAAAAGTGCGTTTTATAATTCTTATTCAAAGCATGGGTTTTGCATATTGCTATGATCAGTACAGTTTATCATACTTATATCATGGTACACTGTTCCAGTATTATAAAGGAGACAAACTGACTGATGCTTCTTAGTTTCATGCTTATATCCAAGGTAACAGAATTGTCATGGATATATGTATATGTCATATTTTAATCTACAATTTTGGGATTTTTTTTGTCTTGTAAGTTGATGATCTATATGAGGACTATACTTGTGACAATTCAATATCCTTCACTTCAGTTTAATATCATATGGCTTACACAAAAGTACCAAGAATTTTTACTATTTATGTATATCATTAAAGATAAAAAAAAAAAAAAAAGAACATTGAAAATACATATTACATGTATTTGATTTAATGTCATTAAACAGTATTTTATTAAAAAAAAAGTTTCAAAAAGATTTCCAGTGAATATGGCACAAAATCGATGACAAAGAAACTATAAAAAGAAAAGTATTTTCCTTGTTTTTTAAAAATATATTATTTACTTTATACCATGGATATAGATACATTTAAAAAAGATGTTCTGACATTTAGATGTGAACGACTGTATTTATTTCATACTACTCTAACTATGTAAATAATAAATAGCTATAGAAAATACAACAGGTACATACACACAAAATGAGTGGACAAATCTAGTTTTAAGCTTATTTTTTCATAGGGACAGTTTTCCAGTTCAGTGTAATCAGAAAAGAAATATGGTACTTCAAATTCAAGAAAACTATCTGAGTTACAGCTCTTTGGTCTTAATCAAATGCTGGAAAGGTAAAAAAAGTACAAAAAATCTATCTATGTTTAGTGTAATAAACTGTAAGACACAGAGATATGTCTCACCTGCATGAAATTTTGATGAGATATCTTATTCTAATACAACTACATACCAAATATCATTAACTTGTCATATTAAGTAGTTAGCCTTGAACTGTCCTAACCAAATAATTTCCATTGATATGAGATGTGGTAATGCTAATACAACTGCATACTAAATATCACCGATAAACCATTAGTGGTTCCCCTTTAACTGACCTAATCATAAACTTTTAACATTTGAACAAAGCAAAAGTTTCAAAGTCAATAGGCCATAACTGAGAGAACAGGGCCAAATTATCTAAATGAAAATGAGATATTCCAATGCTTATACAACTGCATACTAATTAACCATTGACTTTCCCTTAGTGGTTCCCCTAAAACTGACCTAATCACGAATTAAAACAAAAGCATTATAGACAGCACACTACAATTAATATGTAAAATCAAAATAGTGCATAAGTTAACTACATCAATCTCCAACATGTCAATACAAAATCTACTTTATAACAGAGGTTATTACTACTGAACAAAATGCCACATATAGATATTGTACTTTAATTAATGGTTTGAAGTAGACATCATGGTGATTTTTTTCATTTTTTCCAATCAGCATCATATTGTTTCCAAATCAGTTTTTAAAACAATAGATTTGGAAATTTAAAGTTTAAAAAAAAGATTGTACAATGATAATATGTGTTGGAATATTTTCCTAGCTAAATAAAATTTATTTAAGGAATGACTGTAATATTTTTACTGTCTATGAAGAAATAACATAAAAAATGTGGTGCACACTGAATTAACTGTGTAGCAGGTTATTTAAAAGTGTGCACCACATTTTTTTAGGTTATTTCGAATAGACAGAAAAAATATTACAGTCATTCCTTAAAATTTAATTCTAAATTCCATTTTTAAGGTGTAAATTTTGAAAAAACATTGGTGACATCACAGTCATATGACAAAATTATGTCCATGAGCTGATAGACAAAACACTTTCAGCCAATGAGAAGACATGTTACATCCAAAATTAAATTATTTTCATTTAACTTCCAATCTTAATTTGTGTTACAAAACATGACATTCATACCACTTAAAATTTGAAAAAAAAATTTACATACTTGTTGCTTTCAAATAGCATCACATATTGGCATATTGCCTGGATATTAAAAGTGTACTATAAAAATACTAACACAAATCAAGCAAAAATTCTATCCATAGCCAAAAACTCATAAAATTACTAGAATACCAGATAGTACCTAGATGAATAATACAATCAAAAGGCTACTTTGTTAAGTGCTGGTCCAAATAATACACATGCAGGGTTCGGGAGGAACTTTTTTTTAGACCCCAACCACTCATAACATAAAATTTTCATTTTACTTATAATTCTTTCAAAATTCTAAGGAAAATGCAACCACACACAATTAATTTGAGTCCCTCCCATATCTCACCCCAATCAATTTTGGAAGAGCAATAAGATCAAATTGTAGATATTTATTATCATAAATTCAATTGCCAATTTTTCATTATTTAATTTTGTTAAAAAAAAAGAATGATTTGTCAGGGTAAATTAATACAAATTGCCATTGAAAATCACAATAGTATATACATTTACTAATCTAATTAAAAAAAGTTCAATCCTACAATGTATTTACCTAATTAAATGGGTCAACAAGTAAATGTGTAATAATAATTCAATAGATAAGAAGTGTAGCTGCCTTTCTGGAATTATTCTAGTTATAAGTATACAAATTCTACATTATTGAAATGAATACATTTATCAGAGAAAATTCTGGGATTAAAAAAAAAACAACACCTATATGATGCTTTAATACACATTATCAATTTTTGTTTGCCATTATTGGACATAATAGATGTTCGTGTAAAATTTTGATGTCACAAGAGAAAATGTGTTACACCACAATGTGAAAACTCATCATAAGATACAAGGATTGAAATTTTGTACACCAGACGCGAGATTAGTCTATAAAAGACACATCAGTGACGCTCCAATCAAAAAGGTTAAAAAAGCCAAATAAATTACAAAGTTGAAGAGCATTGAGTAAAAAGATGTCAAAAGTTAAAAGAGTTGCACTCTCTCCTTTCAAGCATTTTTCTGATTTCCATATACCGATAAGGTCTTTATAAGGCTTACTATGATCACATGTAAACTACTATCTCATTTAAAGTGAAAACATTGTGGCAGGACTGATATCCTGATAAGGTCTATATTAGGCTTACTATGATCACATGTAAACTACCATCTCATTTAAACAGAAAACATTGTGGCAGGACTGATTTCCATAAACCGATAAGGTCTATATTAGGCTTACTATGATCACATGTAAACTACCATCTCATTTAAACAGAAAACATTGTGGCAGGACTGATTTCCATAAACCGATAAGGTCTATATTAGGCTTACTATGATCACATGTAAACTACCATCTCATTTAAACAGAAAACATTGTGGCAGGACTGATTTCCATAAACCGATAAGGTCTATATTAGGCTTACTATGATCACATGTAAACTACCATCTCATTTAAACAGAAAACATTGTGGCAGGACTGATATCCCGATAAGGTCTATATTAGGCTTACTATGATCACATGTAAACTACTATCTCATTTAAACTGAAAACATTGTGGCAGGACTGATATCAATATATCGATAAGGTCTATATTAGGCTTACTATGATCACATGTAAACTACCATCTCATTTAAACAGAAAACATTGTGGTTGGACTGATATCATACCTGAGTTACATTAAACACTTCATTTCTTTTACAATCAGTAAATAATTGCACTTTATGTATCTAGTAAAATGAAAGTAAAATGAAATTGCTGCCAATTGTCCAATTGTGAGTAAAACAATGTATTATCTACTGTAAAATATGAATGATGAATATGTTTAGCAATAGACATGCAATGCAAACAATGTCTTTTCATTTGGTGACACATTTTGTATGATGTTCCATTGTCCAGAAATCACACTAAACATATTCCTGTGGAAATTTCACAAATTAGGAAAAATCAGTATCAATTTAAAATCATTTAGGACTCTATCAGTCAAGGGACTTATTGAAATAAGTGCCTTATTTAAGTAGCAAATTCGAAGTTTTGTCACAAATTGTGATTTTGTAGTTTTACCAAAATTTTAAACACATAGGTTTAGATAATATCTTTTCATTAGTAAAATTGAAAAAAAAAAACTTTTTGCTTCTTTTAAGCAGCAAGGTTTATTTGAAGCAGCAAGGTTTATGCCTTTGATGCAATCATTAGCTGCAAATTCTATTTTAGTTGAAAAAATGCTATAAAAATGGCTTTACATAATGAACTGATACTTTCTTAACAGATTTTTCCCAGCAGTGGGATTATTTTTCCTGTAAAATTCAAGGTTTCATCTTATAGATTATGTAATAAAATTCTACTGTTCGCGATCAAAATTTCACTGTTCGGGGGTGTTGAAATTAGTGGGGGTTATTAAAATAATGATACTTAAAGAAGTGATTTTTTGGAAGGAAATTGAGGTATGATACTTAAACAAGTGATTTTTATGTCATTATCCTAGATTTAGTACAAGGTCATCACCTGACATGACCCGGTCATCCTATCAACACAGATGTTGGTTCTGATAATTTTAGCAACATAATTAGTCCCTGGATCATTAGTATTCGATATTTAAAGCTACAATAAAATTAAATCACTTAGTCTAGTGATTAATTTTACTACTTAAATAGGTGATTATTAAAGAAAGACAACTCTTACTTCCAACCTTTATGGACATAATGTTACTTGATTCAGTGATTTAGAAAATCACTCATTTAAGTAAGTCCCCTGACTGTCTATAGGTCAACAATATTAATCTCTTTTTTTTTTAACTATATTTCATCAGTGTTTTTAATTGTTTCACATTTTGACATCCTGGGACATTTTTAGCTAACTATACATACAGTATGGGTTGTCTTATTGTCATTGATTGTTAAAGGTGAACAGTGATATGTTATTGTTCACATATTTATCCTTCAGTCTTTAATGGATAATTGTCTACTTGGCAACATATCACATCTCCTTATTTTTTCATGAACAACTTTGGCAATCCTACTTTTGTCTTTTCAAATAATTAATCTTGTGAAGACTAACAGACTAATGTCAACATTAGCAATAAAAAATACATGATATTTATTCGAAATAAAATTTGTTATTATGCTTCATAGACTAATATAAACCCTTCCTACTTTCCTAGTTTCCTATAAAAGTTAATAACCAGCTATGTATGTTTTAAAAAAAATCCTGGATTTTACATCTTAAAATAGACCTTGCTACATAATGTTAAAAATATACTCCATCAAGTTCTTGATTTCATATGATGCAAGTGTTTCATTAGCCAAAAATACTTATCATAATATCAAAAGACACATTCTTTTCTCAAAATGATACAAAGCTATCTTAATCCACCTTAGAAGATCTTGTGTAGTAATTATAATGGGGTGTAAATGCTGCATTCTTGGAACGTTCATTCTGTAGAATCAGACCAAGTCCAATAGCTGGTAATAGGATGGGAGTCATGAAAAAGAGCAGCCAGTACACCTGTGATACTTCTATAGCATGGTCAACAAAGCAGGCAGCCAGAAGACTGAGGGTTGCAAGTCCTGCTGCCTAAAGGAAAAAAAGTTGTACATTAGAAAAACATTACTGAACTTACACAAGTACTACTACTTAAAATGAGGTGTAATATTTTATAAAACTATTTAACAATATTATAGACTTAGATTGTGTGTAATAATGAGATGTAAAAGATGCAGTTTTGGAACATTCATTTCGTATAATCAGACCAAATCCAATGTGGGTGGGATAACTGAAAACTAAATAATAACATGTACATCTACAGCTTGGTAAAAAAATATACCCCCAGGAGGCCAATAACCACTAGACCTGAGGACTAAAAACAGAACTGGTTTTTGTATGTGAAGTTAACAATAACAATTCAGTGAAGTGCCATTTTTAAACTCGTATGCAATTTTTGTTGTATAACTTTGCAATGGCTGAGATAAATTTCTATGCAGAAACTTGAACAGACGTCAATAATAATACATGCCTATGAAATAATATAAAGGGCAACAGAATTTCCTGCTTAAACAAGAGTGCACATGGTGAACTTTTTTACTTGCTTTACTGGCTATGATTGAATGTATGATAAATCTAGGAGATCAAATTCTTACTGCATGTACAGAAAGTGAGATCAAGATCCAATGCATCCTGCCAGTGACACTGCCACAAATACATGTACACCTTATACAATTATTTTAGTTTTTTTATATCAATATAACTTACTGCCAGATGGGAGATGAAGAGAGCCTTCCTGTCATCATCGCGTAGAAAACTTGGTGCATACCAGATAAGAAATATGGCTGAGAAATCAGATGCACACAACACACGAACAAAGTGCTGATGCAAGAAATGTGGTGTAGTATTCTGAAATTAAAGAAAAAATATTAAATATTATGTTTTTTTTCAAAACATATAATAGCATCTGAGAAGTGCAACCAATCTTGAAATAATAATTCTACATGTATATTAACTTTTAATTTGATACCATTCCAATGGTTTATATTTGACTTAAAATCTGAAATAAATTACATTCTCACTGTTAAATATTTAGATTTAGTAAGCTGATAATGATTTAACTGTGCCTATAAGGTCATTTTTTTTATATATTACATAGGTGTGTTTATAGAACAACTTTACAATGCACATATATGTGAAAAAAAATGGTATTTTGATTTCCCTTTTCTTTTTTTTATATCACTTTCTTCAAGGAATATAGTCATCAAACAGTCACATGTTGCAAACATCAACCATGATTATTAGAAGGAAACATAATCTAGAAAGAACATATTTTTTTTATAAATAACACAGTTGTACTTGTAATACATACAATTTACTTAAAATCTGATGCATTTTTTTTCTTCTGCATTCTTTCTTTTCAATTTAGAATGAGGCCATATTGATCTATGTTTACTCCTCCTTAAATTAGGTGCACAACTAAGAGATTGTTTACTTTTAAGAATTTTAGGCTAAGAAAGATAACCAAATCATTATTTTTCAATAAAATTAAAAAAAAACAAAGAATAATGGTTTCAAGAAATTCAAGTTGATGTGACCATAAAACTGTAACCTATTACATTTCCATGTTCAGTAAACCATGAAATCTCAGTCAAAACCTTGTTTTGCCATAAACATTATAAACAGTTTTCATAATGAGTATGTGTACTAAGTTTTAAGTTGATGTGACCACAATCTACCTTAAACCAAAATTTAACCTTAAACAAGACGACAGAGGCAGAAAATGGAAAAACATAATGCTGCTCTACTATGGTAGGCAGGGCATTTAAAAAGTTCAGGGTCAGTGATAAAAAAAATATGTGTTCATAGAAAACCATGCCATGCTTGCAATGATTCGATGAACCATGAAATTGCTGTAAAACCATAATTTGACATACAATATTTAAAGTTCACATCATAATGCAAATGTGTACTTAGTTTCAAATTAGTGTGACCACAACATCATGGTAAAGAACCTAAGCTAACAAAATTAACCCTAGAATGTAATGATTTCACACTATAATGCATAAACATGTCCACTGAACCTTAAAATCGGGGGACAAACCATAATTTAGCATAAACATTTAACAGTTCCCGCCATAAAGAACATGTGCACAGTTTCAGGTTAATGAGGCCACAAATTCATAGAAATCTACATTGACCAAAAACTTCAACCCGATATGAGATGGCAAGACAAACAGTTGTACCATCTCAAACAGGACATAAAAATTATTTGTATAAATGTTATTATCGCTATTTTACGAATTTTTCCTTTGATCTTGCTGACTGATAATTTCCCATCTCAGCGGAGTCGAGTGATATGAAAATTATCGCTAGAAACTAAGGGGACACGTGCCGTTGTCAAGGAAATTAACAACATCTTCATAGGTAAAATAGCGATAAACAGATTATCATTGGTCATCTCAACTCTATTGCTTTTCTCACTTTCGCCGTACCGGCTCAAGCGAGAAAATCAATCTCGTTGAGATAACCAACAATAATCTATAATTATAATCACTATTCCCTAAACATTGAAGCTCTTACTTTGTCATTTGTTTGCAAAAAAAAAAAAAACAGTGGAGAAGTTCTGCAGAAATTTTTTAAATTACTATATTAAATTCACATACCATGAAAAACATGACTGAGTTTGGGAATGCCAGGCCTTGTAGGCCTTCTACAAACAAAACAAGAAAATACACTCTTAACAGGATGCTGACAAAACCCTTCTGTTCTCTACGTCCAACTGCTGCTGGTGGTGCGTGCATCTGGTAAACATTATAGATCCAAATACTGATAAAAAATGGCAGGAAAAACCACAAGTTCTGAAAATAAAAAATAACCTATATAGAAAATAATTATATAATTTGGTGATTTTTATAACAATTATTACTGATATTTGTTTTGCAATTTGCCATTCAGAATTTGATGCATTATGGGAAAGGTTTCAAAATCATACAAATAAACATTGTGATTGGTTAATAAATGCCCTTAACAATTGAATTAAACAAATGATGTGACATTATTTTTATTTTGGAGTATTAACAAAGAAATTACCCATAATCCAAAACATTCTGAAATGGCAAGTTCACTCTGAACTTTTTTTATCTTTTCACCAGTCAGGGGTACTACTTAAACAAGTGATTTCAGAATCACTTCTTCAAGTGATTTTGGCTGTGAAATATTAAAAATTTTCATAAAAATAGACAGACTTTTTAAAATCACTGAAACAAGTAGTTTGAGAAGTTAAAATGTAATCACTTCAACAAGTGTTTATAACATTTTCTTGATATTTTTCCCACAAGCTTGCCTTTTTTATTGGTAAAAAGACCAGAATTCCATTGAAAAAACAATTATGTACATGCAGAAATTGTCTTTTGCTTGATAAGCCTGTCAGTTTTTACAGTTTATTTAAAAATGCAAAAACTGGAATAATTTGTAGATCAGGACATAACCTTGAAATATGTCATTATAACTCTAAAGAAAACCAATCAGGTTACTTAATATTGTTGACCTTTGTCTGATAGTAAGAGTAGTTAATGAATATTTGATTATAGAAAAATTCCCAAGGGTACTTTTAAAAGCTTTAGCGCACTAACTTACTGTCCAAGCGCACTGGTGAAATTGATATACAAAAGAAAGGGATAATTAGTTCTATGTAGGAAAATTATAGAAAAGTTTGTCAAAATATGGAAAATCAATGAAATTAGCATTTGAAGATCAAAGAAAACACCAAAATCATTTAAATAGGTGATAACTGAATTTATCAAATCACTGAAATAGGTGATAATGAAATCACTTGTTTAAGTAGTACCCCTGACTGTTCACATTCATGAAAATTATCTATAACTAGGATTTCCAGAGAAAAATAACTATTACAAAAGTATATAAAAACCTGTATTATTTCAGCAACATATAGATATGTTGTTAACCCTAGTCATTACAGAAAATATCAGACAAAACATAATATGGAAATATAAATGAACAGGTTTATTAGCTTGGTTTTTTTTGCTGTTAAGTTAACAAAAAAGACGAGGTAACACATGCATTTTTGTGATTTAAACCTTACAAAATTATGTTTTCTGTGGAAATATCTTGTTGGTCTATATTGAATTCAAGTTTACAGGTGGTGCTAAATAGCAATATTGCCAATTTTTTTTATATTTTCTGTTTATTTGAAGGTCATAAAGCCATTCATGTAAATAGAATATCAACTAATACTGAATATACACCATATAAGAATCATTCATTATGTGTGCAAAATATCTCTCATTACGATCTGTTTAAATATCTAATGACACTTATGTATCCAGTCAGTTGGATTAATATCCACTAGTAAACAACAAAATGCTACCAGCATTTACCTGAATTTCCTTTATAATTGTGTCCATTATATGAAGTAAGACATCAACATGGTTATTGGCTTTTGATTTCCATGTCAAACATGTTATACTGTTGAATAATCTTATAATTCATAAAATTGCATTCTTATTCTCTTACAAAAATAAAATGTATGTTATTGAAATGTTTAATTGACACACACTTACACATGTTGTTTAGTTCAGAAATACTGTAATGTACTTACACCGTGACCAAATAACTTGGTTTTGTAGACTTGTCCATAAATCATTATCATCAACATAGGAGCTGTGCCCTGTATAAACATACAATTATCACATTTTTAATGCTGGTTGTTTGGCAGTGACAATGTCACAGTGTGTAGTATACCTATACAATATAATGACATTGACAATGTGTGTAGTGTAGTTATACAATGTAATGACATTGACAAAGTGTGTAATGTAGTTATACAATGTAATGACATTGACAAAGTGTGTAGTGTAGTTATACAATGTAATGACATTGACAAAGTGTGTAATGTAGTTATACAATGTAATGACATTGACAAAGTGTGTAGTGTAGTTATACAATGTAATGACATTGGCAATGTGTGTAGTGTAGTTATACAATGTAATGACATTGACAAAGTGTAGTGTATTTATACAATGTAATGACATTGACAAAGTGTGTAGTGTAGTTATACAATGTAATGCCATTGGCAATGTGTGTAGTGTAGTTATACAACGTAATGACATTGACAATGTGTTAAATGTAGTTATACAATGTAATGACATTGATAATGTGTGTAGTGTAGTTATACAATGTAATGATATTGACAATGTGTGTTGATTTAACATTGTTTAATGGCATTTACAATGAGTTTAGTTTTAAAGGCATTGACAAGGTGTTCGAGTTATAATGGCATTGACAGTGTTTTTTTTTCATTGTGTTACTGTTACATTTTGTTACATGTATCATGGTTTTAATCGCACTGTAATTTTCCATGATGTACCTATACATTGTTATGTTGTTTGATCATATCTAATTCTTACAAGAGTTCTTGCCCACAAGATGGCCCCTTTGACTGTCTCATCACGAGTATCCCTGGTTAAATACATAAACATGGTCATGGCTAACTGACTGGCACCTGTACATCTGACGAAGAAGATCATTAATCCATCGGTTTTCCCAGAAATCTGTAATTAAAAGCATTTTTATTTTAATACATTTATTAAATGACTGAAATTCAATGCATTTTTACCTCAATACTTATAATTCAAAATAATGTAAATCATTTGTAAAGTGTATCAAGGACTGAATCATGCATTTTACATGTACATGCATTTTCAACCATTATGCCAGAATTAATTATTGAACCAATGAACTCTAGCAACTTATTTGAATAATGTAGCTATTAAGATAATCTGGATGTACTCATACATTATCCATATTAACTTATTGATGCTTTGAATAGACTAATTCTGAGTGGTTTTTAATATAAACAATGTTGTTAGAACTTTAAATAATCATTTATATTGTCTTATTGAGTACTGATTTTGTTTTCAATAAATTACAACATAACTAAACATGCTTAATATGTATTGCTATGCAGTTACATGTATGTACAACTGATGTTCCTAAATTCTGTTGATACTTATATTTTGGTAATGTTCAAAATTCGGGTACCACGATTTCCCGAGAACTTCCAAAAACTGAGTATTTATGTACTTAGTAATGTACAATCACTACAGGAATTCAATTTGTGTGTTTTCTATGCAAGTTCCTTGTATAACAATATGGCAGACGAAATATTCAAAAGGTAGATACATGTAACTGTATCTAAATAAAAGTGTAAAAAAGTTCTGAAGGATTAGTTTCTTTCATAATGAAAATTTGAAGTAAATACACCATTTGCAAAACTTAAATTTAAAAAAATTGATTGAAATACAATACTTTTTATACTTTTATTTAGATAGAGTTATCTTCCTTTTGAATAAATGTTATGCAAGGAACTTGTATAAGTTCCAGACCATATGACTATTTGGACCAGGTAGGACCATATGAATATTATACTTGTTTGGTTATAAAAGGGCCAGACCATGCAAGTATTTAGACCATATAGGTATATATAAAGCACCTTTCTCCTGGCTGTTGACTTTTTCATCTGTAAGTGAAACCACAGGCATTTGAGATATGGACCTTTTCTTTGTTCTTTTTCTTGGTGTTTAAATTATTATTCAAGAAACAAAATTTCATATGATTTCTACTTACTTTCATTTAATTGATGTCTTGCACCTAATTATATACAATCTTAATGTTATTGTAAGATCATATGAGTAGGAGCAAGAACACATTAAATAAATGAAATCAATTTGAAATATTTAAGAAATTTTAATTTAACTTACCGTAACACAAATTTAAACACCAAAATATATTAAATTTAAACACCAAAATATATTAAAAAAAAAAAAGAAACAAAAGTGGTTTCAATAGCCAAACTTCCTGCGAATAAAGCAAGTTGGCTTCTTGTTTGACAGTTCATTTAGATATATCTTTGAAGTTATTTTCCAAAGTCAACATATTGTGATTCGTAAGAAAAATCGATATTGACCATGTAAAAATGATTTTTACTATTGCAATAATTTTTACTTGCAAGTAAAATTCAGTTTGTTTCATTTATCAAGTAACATTGATTACCATATGATTGATTACAATGTAAGTCAAAATTTCATTTTAATGAACTCTTAATTATGCGACACTTTTTCAATGTTAATCGTCAGTTAATTAACTGGACCATACGAGTATATACAAGACACACAAATAGAATTCCTGAAGTGAAATTGTACTTTTATTGAGTAAAAATTACTTATATCTCAAAATTTAATTATATACTTTAATATCTTTCGGTTCTCATGTCAATGCTCAGATTTTGGGAGTTCTCTGGCAGTGTTCCAGCTTGAATCTCAGGGCAGAAAGGTGCTAGGGCACTTAAGCGCAATAATCCAGATTTTCAGGGCACAGTTGCATCTAGTCCATGAGGTACGAAATGGTAGATGCATTTGGCCCATAGGGTATGAAATGGTTTCTATCGTGGGTACAAAATGGTAAATGTTTGGTACGAAATGGTAATTTTTCAGAGGCTGATTTAGAGGGTTTTTCAGGGGGCCCGGGCCCCCCCTTTTGTGGGAAAAATTTTGTTGATTATATAGGGAATCACTGAAGCAAGCCCCCTCTTAGGCAGTCAGTGGGCCCCCCCTTATGAAAAATTTCTTGATCCGCCACTGTTTTTGGTACAAAATGGCAGAGGTACGAAATGGTCAAGGTACGAAATGACTTGCTACCTATAAGATTAAGGTTAATGAAATACATTGATTGTATATTCTTTCAAACCAATCATATTCATCGTCTCTTACTGTCCACGGATTAGTTAACAGTTACACAAGCATCTATCGGATCTCCTGTAGTTGGTGATCGCAATACTGGTATACTAGTATTGTGCACAATACTGGTATAAAAATTTTGTACCAGTATTGTACCAGTATTGTTTTTTTTTTAAATTAAATAATACATATAGGTAATTGATCTTTTATTAAAGGTGTCACATATATATGCATAATGATATTAACATATGACATGACAATTTTATATGGAATGATTGTATGTTTAACTGATGATGCCATTGATGGTACACTGTGATTGTAATCAAAGAAATTTTAAATCTTCTTATGTTTTTTTCTTGAGGGAACCGTACTGTCTCAGCATTTTAACAAACTCTTAACTTTCTTCTGTTTTCTTCCAGCTCTCTCTTTCCAAGTCTCAATAGTATATTTTAGTGAATTTTATATTAGTGTAAACAATATTTTATTTTGAAAATAATAATAACGTAAACATTACAAAATGACAATTTTATCATGTTTATTGGGATTGGAAAACAAGTGAATTTTCACTTTTACAAATTTTATGAATTTTATATTGACATTAATGCTGTTATAGCTTCTGTATCATCAGCATTGGTATTGTTTATTTCTTCTTCAGATGGCATTTCTGCAATCCTCAATTCCTATATTGATATTTATGTATTCAGTCTGTGGACTTTCTCTTACGCTTACTAGATTACAAGCTTGTTTAGATAGCACCTGTACGACTCTCTTACTGTAGGAGTGCTTGTCTAGTATTAGTATTTGAGTATTTGTACCAGTAGCAGTGTTCCAGCTTGAATCTCAGGGCAGAAGGGTGCTAGTTGTCTGAAAGGGCACTTTAGCGTTATAATCCAGATTTTAAGGGCAATGTTGGACAGTGTATAAATTACCTTGAATATTGCTAGGCTCACCTGGAGAACATTAGTTGTATTTAAACCATATTCAGAAATTAATGTGTTCTTGATGTTGGTTCCAGTAAGAATTTTTTTCCATCAAATTATCATACCATGAAGCAAAGCATATCATTTTGATGTTAACCTAAACAAACTTGTACATTTGGTATGGAAAATAATCATCAGAAATTTCAATGTTTTATAACTTATACCAAAATAAACAAGTAGTTTTGAATGATGGAGTTATACATGCAAAATTGAATGTTGAATGTAATTAAATTATCTACATTTAAATTACTTGTTCAAATATATAGTATATATGTTATTGAGAGTTATTTATTATCATTTGAATTGTTATAAAAAATATTTTTAAGTGCACACCAAAGTGCTCCTCAGTAAGGAGTTTTATAAATATAACAGGTGAGACAGGAGATAATCATATTTTATATTGATGCAATTATATATGGCAGAAGGTATAAACAGTTACTTTTTTCTCCATCATTGTTAAAAATAACTTTGTTGAGTGCTCCTATGTCAGGAGGATTCTAAAATACAAGAAGTATTAAAAACAGGAAGTGAATCTTGTTATGTTCAAAGTACAAATTTCTTTGATTCCTCTCTAAATTTCATACTCATGGTTATGAAACAAAACATTTTTTACCAATTAAGTTAAATCTATGTATGCCTTTAAAATTGTTTAAGATTTTATTTTTTATGTTATGCCTACTGAGATAAATTTTTTCAGGTGTACATGCTGTACATAAACATTACAAATGGATAACATGTGGACATTTCATTCTGTATTAAATATCTTGTATTTGTTCAATTATCTTAAATCCACTTATTAGATGTCAGCAATCATTAACAAAGGTGATAAAACTGCCAAAGCACTTGGTATTTAACTTAATCCCATTGTCAGTTAATTAGTGTTACACAACCAGGTAACAATTTTACCGGAAACGCCGGTAGGCATGAAATTTGAAAATTTTATTTTTCTGAAAAGGCAGAGGGCAGAAGGGCGGTGGTAAGGGCACCAAGGGCGGGCCGCCCTTCTATTTAGGGCAGGCGGGAACACTGAGTAGATATATCTGCTACAAATTGTATTGCCCATGGTTCTGAATCAACTGCTTTAACTACCCTTAACATTCATGTAGACAAACTAGTAAAAGTAGTTAATTTGATTATAATCAGATTCCCCTATTAGGCAACTTTTTATGTTTAATGGATATTGATATCTTTTATCATGTTTATTGTGAAAGATTGATAAGAAAATAAAGACAAAAAAATGCTTAGAATCTTAGTATACATGTATTAAAATATCTGTAAAAAATACGATTGCATACATGTACATGTAAATGCTGAATTTACAGTGTTATAATAATAGTTTGCTTGAATTTATTAAATAATAACTCAGATAATAAAGCTTTTATTTTATTTTATCTAAATTGAATTAAATAAAATATAGAAATATGATAAAATTTTTAGCAATTATTTATATAATTAACAGTTGTTTGAATAAGATGATTTAATTACAATAATCTTTTGTTTATTTGTACAAGTATAGTAATTATTTTTAACTGGTTGTTAATACACCTTATCGCTATTTGTCCGCCATTACTGGACATCACACAAGTTCCCGTAAAATTTTGACGTCATAATAGAAAATATCTGACGCCACAATGGAAAAGTGATTGTTGTATGACGTCAAAAGTTCGAGCGGGACTGATTCTCGGGTCAAGCGGGATTAGCGATAAGGTGTATTGATTTCACAATTATCCTCTATAAACAAGGAATTATTTGGATCTGGAATAATTTTGAATTCTGGAAAATTGATGAGTAATTTATGATGAAAACTAACCCAACTAAATAGGGTTAGCCATGCACGCATGGCTAAGGGGGGTTAGTTAGTTCATACTGAAATGATAGTGAAATTAAAATTAACCTTAGCCATGCGTGCATGGCTAACCCTATTTAGTTGGGTTAGTTTTCATCATATATTTCTAATCAATTTTCCAGAATTCATAATTATTCCAGATTCAAATAATTCCTTGTTTATAATCTTTTTGAGTTCATTTAATCTCCCTTTGATCTTCAATATCTTTTTCATTATACACCTTAAAGTAAAGTGAACAATACAACTACAATACTGGTATATCAGTAATGTACCAGTAATTGCTGTTTTTAAAATAAAAGTTACAATACTGGTACAAAATTTTTATACCAGTTGGACAATACTGGTATCGTCTTGGTACCTGTTTTGACGCGGACCAGAAATGACGCACCGATTTAGTTAACAGTTTTATATTTCTAAACAAAAGCTGTGACGTCATCAACATTTGCTGTTCATAACATGATGTTGAAGGTCATCTGACTACAACAAAGATGCCTAAAACTCTGCCCAGAAATGTTATTATTGCATAAAATATTAAAGACAATGCGATTTCCGCCATTTTAATAAGGTCAAAAAAATTCTACCGTTCCCCAAAAGATTATCAGTCCTATCTCCACTTTGGTCAAGAAAAGTATGTAACCGTATGCTTCCCCATTTTGTGTTTTTCAAATCACGTGACTGTCATGTGACATGGTTTTACATTTAAACGGGAATCACTGTAGAACAAATGATCGTTGCTTATATAATTTTCTATGGTTTATCGATTTTTTTCATTCAATGTATGAAGTATACATTGATAAATGTATTATTGTCAATGTTGTTTTATGGATGCAATTACTTTTTATTTTCAAATATATGGAATATGTATATCACTTTCATAAATTTTGAACAATTATATACCAAAATATAGGTTACAATTAAATTGATTAAAAATTTGGTGTTACAATCATCATGATCATTAAAGTGAATGAAAATGTCAAAAGTTGTTAATAAAATTGAATGCTGAACAGATTTAACTTTAAAGAATCCGGATTGAAGCAATTTTTCGATTATCTGTTACATGCAAGTGGTTTTTACTGGTTTGTTTACAGTGCGTCACTACTGGTACCCATCATTAGTTGGCAGTCCGTTTGTAATGTTAGCAAACATGAATGTTATTGCTATTACTGTTTCAAATATCAACTGTTTAATGATTGAAATATAATAACAAGTTATCAATCTTTTATTCCATTCCGTTTTTCTAATTCTTTTAAATGGTAGATTAAATGCAGAGACATAACAACCTTAGGTGCGTCATTACTGGTTCCTCGGGGATATACCAGCATGACCAGTATTGCGATCACCAACTACAGGAGATCCCATCTATCAAATGATTCCGATTGTTTAGAACCATGAAATAAGTGATCTTGAAATAAGGCTTGACATGTTTTTTTGTGGTAAAAGCATTGACTCCCTTCTAATATTCTTTATCATGATATCTGACCTGATAGCCAACCACATAATCGGGGAAGAGAAACATTCCTAATGCTATCCATGTTGTAAACACAAGGTCAGATATTTTAGATTTTGACCCTGCAGCTAATCCAACTAAAAGAGCTAATCCTCTTATGACATCAAATACGCAACATGCAGTCATCTTTATGCTGAGTAAACAACGCTTTCGTTGTTTTGGTTTGGAGCGCGGCCGGAAGTTAGTTTGAAACAAGCGCTTGCGGAGCGACCTCTTGTGGAAAAGGTACTTTTGTTTACAGATAATAGCTTTTCTAAAAAGCTAACTCTTATAGTTTTTACCTTTCATTCATAATAGTTATTTTCATATAAAAATATATTGGGTCACAAACTCTAGACTAGAGAAAGGCCAAAATAATTAAGGAGATTTAATATTTTCCATTTTAGGACAGACAACGGCAATGAACACTGTAAAGGTTTTTTTTTCGTAATCAACTATTGCTAAGAGCAGAGACATATAATACAATTATAACAATTGTATTATATGACTCTGCTAAGAGTAAGACGTATGTTCGTTACACGTACGTCCTTGACTATAGCAAGCCGTTGCGGTATTTATTCCCCATTTTTTAATATTGATAATTCATCTTTAAATATTAAAAAGCTTCTCTTTTTTTTTAGTTATTAACAAGGACTTGTATAGTGAGATCACCATACAAATCCTTGATATTAATAAAACGAATTTCTAATATTAAAAATTATTCTTTTAGTATTCAAAACTAGCCCCTTTTTAACTGAAAATTAATAAACAGGTTTAATTCTAGATCTTTTCTATTAAATATTCAATTTTTAATATATAAAAACTGATATATTAATATTAGAAGACGTTTTTTTTTTTTAATATTCCAACATGTTCAAATCATTTTTTTATATTAATAAATGTGTTTTTAATAAAAAAATAAATAGGGGATAAATTCCATAACGGCTTGCCATAATCAACTGAGTTTTTACCTTTTCCTTATTGCTGTAAAGATTTGAAGGTTTTTCTGTGTATCCATGTTTTTTTTGTTTGTCAGCAGACATTTAATTTATCTACTTTTGTTTGTTTGTTTGTATGATTGTGTTAAAAAACGTAATTATGGTCACGTCTTATCTATACATGTCTTAATTTGGTTTCTCATTTATGTATACCCTACATCTCCACAAGAACATATATACTGACATATAGATATGCTGTTCCCAGATCTCCATTTATTTACACATAGAAATTTAGCACCGGTACATTGAATATGTTTACATACAATTTTGTACATATAAAGTTGCTATTAAAACTCCTTTCGAGCTTGCAAATACACCCTGGACATGCTTAGACGCCTATATGAGCAACATACCCGTATTCCGAAAAAGGGACTTTTGTAAATCGTAAGAGAGTCGTTTTCGCCTCCACCTGTTGAAATGGTACTTGTTTTATTCATTTGTACTTATACACCAATTCTAACCCAAACATTAAAATGTGACACATTTCCCCGAAGCCCCTGCGTAAAATAGCTTAAATCGTTAAAAAATAATTAAATTTTGTTTGTTCGAAGAGCTTTTTTAGATTTACCTTCATCAAAGCACTTCATGATCATTCAGTTATTATAGCAAAATATGATATTTAGTCTTTTTGGTTGCATGAACATTCTTTTTTTATGTGGCAAAATACTGAGCCATCACTTGTCTGATAAAAGTGTAATTTTTTGTCATCTAGTGGAAATATTCATTAGAAACGGTATAAAGGATCCTCCGGCACCAATAATATATCATGACAAAACGAGACCACTTTAGTAACCCTCTTTTCGTTGCTAATATGAGGATTTCAAATTCTTGTCTACAGTGCTAAACTTTCATATATTAAAGAATTATTACAAAAATGGTGTTTCTGTTAAATGAGGGGCGTAAAGAGGGGGTACCTGCACGGAAGAACGCGAAATAAAATTGCCATTTCACGATGAACGAACAATTAAAAATTTCTTGCACGTTGATCTTTTTACCGATTTCACGAAACACGGTGAATAACGAACCTTTTTCACGGCTGCACGTGAAATAAAAATGGCAAAACACGCTGCACGAAAATAACCCTTTACCACCCTCTTAAATAATTTTCGAGCTTTGGGTAGGAATACTGTGCGCTGTTGTAAGTTTTCAAGGGGATCATAATCCAGACCTATATGGCTAATTGTTGGTCACAACTTGAGGATTTGTATAGTTAACTGTTTACTATACAAATACTTGATGGTCATATCAATTTCTAAATGAGGCATATCCGGTATGTATTTGTTACAGTATAGGATCCAGAATTATCCTAGTACAAATTGGAATTCCAATATCTACTATAGTAGAAATTGTAATTCTGATTTATACTAATTAAAATCAAGTACAAATCGGAATTCCAATATCTACAAGTCAGAGAAATTTGGATATCCAGATACGGGAGGGATTGTGCTTGATTTTCATATGATGAAGACATAATCCTTCGATCAGTATAAGTGAGGTCTGGAGCTGACATGTCAGTAACTGCTAGTAGTCCTTAGTTAATTTATGTTGATCATTGTCATTTTTCTAAGTTTCTTAATTCTCTTTATACATATTCTAGCATCGTAATCGGACTTCTTTTAAACTGAGTTTTACTGTGCGTATTGCTGTGTGTTTGTTTATTCCACATTGGCTAGAAGTGTAGGGGGAGGGTTGAGATCTGCCAAAACATGTTTAACCCCGCCGCATTTTTGCGCCTGTCCCAAGTCAGGAACCTCTGGCCTTTGTTAATCTTGTATGCTTTTTAATTTTGGTTCATTTATAAGTTTCGGAGTTTAGTGTGACGTCAATTATCGCTGAACTAGTATACATTGTTTAGGGGCCAGCTAAAGTACGCCTCCGGGTGCGGGATTTTTTCGCTGTGTTGAAGACCCATTGGTGGCCTTGGGCTGTTTTCTGCTCTTTGGTCGGATTGTTGTTTCTTTGACACATTCCCCATTTCCATTCTTAATTTTATTGTACTATGAGGATCCTGGATTGTACCAAATTTCTAGTAGGATCAGGATATTACTAAAAACAATAGTAAGTATGATCCTGGGTTCCACTGGATATTTTTAATTTTTCTTATTTTTATTATTAAAATATTTATTATTTATTATGTTTGCTGACTCAATTGATAAGTCGCTAAACAAAAAAAAATGAAAATATGATTCTACTTTCAAAATTTTATTGCAAACACAATATGGTCAAATACACAAACGGCTTTCGAGAAATTATCTTAATTTGTGATAATTAAATTTGCTAATATTTTGTTCATGGTATTTTGATAAGCAAAACAAATTGACTTTACAACACGAACATAGTTAAGGGAAACAGATTTTGCGTAAATAAACAAGATTGTCTTCCAAAGATTAATTTTGAGAAATTAATGCAAATTTAACATGTTTTTTCTTCAATTTTGTATCGAAAGACACAATCAACATAAATGAATGGTTTTTTTTTTTATCTGACCGACAATATTTAAAAGACTTCCAATGAAATTTTGGATTTGTTTAAGAATGTCCTTATAATTACTAAAAAATTGCTAAAATTGAAGTGTTTAACTATATCCAGGTAGCTATAATTTTATCAAATATTATGGAATACATGTACACTAAAGTGTTGTTAAAACCTTCAAGTACCTCATATGAACTTATGCTTTTTGTGAATTTTGTAAAGATGGAAAGGATTTAGAAAAAGTCTCTGCTGTGAAATAAATTCATATGAAATTCTCCATACCTCTTTTTTTTGGATTCAAACAAGTTTAAATATTGGTTTATTTAAATATAAAGAAAAACAAAATAGTCCTTTCATTGCGTCTTTTTAGGTGATCATCCATTACAATATAGGATCCTCCTAGTACAAATCTGGATATTCCAATTTCTACTTTTAGATAATGGAACTCAGATTTGTACAAGGAGGATTACCTACTGTATTCCGATTTTTACTAGGAGGATTAACTAGATCCTACTGAACTCCAATTTGTATTAGGATTAACTAGATCCTACTGAATTCCGATTTGTACAAGGAGGATTAACTAGATCCTACTGAATTCCGATTTGTACCAGGAGGAATAACTAGATCCTACTGAATTCCGATTTGTACTAGGAGGATTAACTAGATCCTACTGAATTCCGATTTTTACTAGGAGGGTTAACTAGATCCTACTGAATTCCAATGTGTACTGTAACATAGACATGATCTATCGTTTTAAAACATTTCAAGTATGGTCAACACCAGTCATGAAGTCCGACCGATAAAATTGTGAATTACTAGTAAATTTGAGGAAAATATAAATAATTTATTTTAATTCAATTAAGAGATATATGATTTATAAAAGGAAGGTCACTTTATAAGTGACTGTTTGGTGTATGAAGAAACCTTCATGATTGAGACAACAGTAGGTAGTGTCCGCGGTTGGGATTGTGTTTTTTCGAGTGAATCGGTCCCCTTTTGTACACCACATTTTTTTCGAGTGAAGTTATATACGATCAAATCGATTTACATTTATTAGTATATCAACTGTATTCAATGCTATCCAACTTATTCTTAATGATATTGAAGTTTTGAACACAAACTACGCATACTAGTCTTCTATTTCATTTAAGATTCGACATCATTCTACAGTCAAATTGTCCGTTTTTTTAAACTGGTCCGCGAAAGAAAATATGATCATGAAATAAGGCATTCGGGACCTGTAAAACTAACTTTTTTTTATATACCATTACTGTTATTTAGTGAAGGACACTTACACATAATTTATTCATTAAAAGATACCAAAGCATCTATATATATATAATGTTGATCAATTTTAACTCTCTTCAGTGTAATGCCAACTTTCTATGAGTACATTTTACCATATTGACCTCGCAGTTTTATGGAACTATAACAGTTAATAAAACCAACTTGAGACTCATACATTTTGATATTTTGAAAAAAGCACCACAATGATAAGAAAATTAATTCTTTGTCAATTGTATATAAAAAGGAAGAAGACACCAAGGGTGCAATTCAAATCATATGTCCTATTAAAAGACAACACCATGGCTAAAAACAATAACAAAACACACAGAAAATTAAAGACTGCATGAGCAACACGAACCCCAAAAAACAGGGGTGAACTCATGTGCTCTACAAATGTCAGCAGTTCCTGCTTCAATAGTAAAACCCGCTGTGTTGAATTAATGGATGAATGTAAATGTTTTTGAATATCAAAACTGCATGGATGTGTAAATTTTAGATTTTTGATTGTTTCTGTGTAATAAATCCCAAACTTTTATGGACTTAGGACGATTTATAGCTAGATATATTGTTGAAGACTGACTGTTTCCCTGTAAATACCTTTTGGATATTTTTTCGTTGCATGGTTTGCTGTCTCATTGACGTTTACCCATACTAGCTTTTATTCATAGCATCATTATATCCACGTATAAAACACCGGAAATGTCCAATACTAACTTATGTTGCCTTCGTCTATATGAATGCCCCAAGCTGGTATTGGAAGGATATTGAAATATAAAGTTCATGTTGTCACTTTTGTCATATTTCTGTAAAGTTTCTGTAAATGTAGGACTTATTAGATTCTTTAATTGAACGGTTTTTTTTTTCATAATTTGCATTAATAAAGCTTAACTTCACATTTTGGAATAAAAGCATTCTATGGTATATATCCAACTTGTACAACTTAAATTAATATGTGGTTAAAAAGTTAACGAAATCAGAAACACAATTGTCCAATTTTGTCTAATGAGCACTGTGACTGTAACACATTTTGTCCAAAATGACACTTTCAGTTGTCCTCTTGGATAGGATAGGATACTACTGATATCAGTTACAATTCGTTAACTACAGGAAAAATAACGGTCCATAGGTCTGAATATCTAATATCAAATCACTCCTGGTAAGACTGAATATAGAATCAATGTAGAATTATATTGTTCTACGGAGTTCGTGATTAAAGCAGCTACGACGTCTACATAACTTATCTAATACTTCCTGAAAATAAGACAATAATAAAGTTAATTATCTATATATATGTAACAATAAACAAGTCTAAATTGAAAACAATAAATATATAATTTATAATATCCATACCATCAGCTTTTATTCATTTGTAACACCACGGATGCCTCATGTTTAGCAGGATCTCCTTATCCTTCCGGCGGAGCACATGGAATAACCCCCCCCCCCCACCGTTTAAGATGGGGTTCGATTTGCTCAGCATTTAGTTTTCTATGTTGTGTTTTGTATACTACTGTTGACTATCCCTTTGGTATCTTCCGCCTCTCTTTTGTACTTTTCCTGATTTCCATAGGTTATGTCACAGGTAACGCTTGCATTTGCGTTGAGTACTTTTTTGTATGCAACCTTTTTACTTTGTCTCTACAGTTTTTTTTTATTCTATAGTCTTGTCTGTTCCCTTTCTTTGAGTTGCGGTCCCTGATGGATATCTGAAATCTGTTACGATGTGCAAGACTTCGCCCTTTTTTATTTTTGCTTTCTTTAAAAGAGAGAAATGTTCTGAAATGCATGGCAATATCACTATGACACATTAGGTGCCATACCACCAATTTACACCCCTCTATGAAAGAAGAAGAGGAAAATTACAGATGTTTTATAATATGAACCAAAAACATGCACCAGAGTACCTATGTAATCTTGTACTTCCATTTGTACAAAGTACTACCAACTATCCGTTGCGAAATGGTCATGATAGTATTGTTCCATTTTGTAGACTTTCCCTTACTACTGAATCGTTTATTCCCTCCACAATACGTGAGTGGAATAAACTTGATCCAAAAATTAGTCAACTCTGATATCTAAATTTAAGAAAGAATTGAAAAACGATAGTTTCCTAAATAAAGTTGAAACGTTTTATTTGTACGGCCCGAGTAAATTGAATATTATTTTAACGCAATTGCGATGCTCCACTTCACTCTAAAACTATGACCTTTTTCAAGCTAACATTATAAAGGATCATTCTTGCCAATGTGGGTCAGATATTGAGGATATTCACCATTACTTCTTCGTTTGTCTAAAATAGTCTTCATGTAGAAAATCCTTCTTCGATAATCTTAATTGGCTTTCCGAAAACTTTGTTTTAGATACAAAACTATTAATTTGTGGAAACTTGGAACTTTCGAACGAACATTATCATCATCGACACCCACGTTATCATCACATAATTATATGACTTCAATCTTCCCTTTTTTTTTCTCTCTTCTTTTTTTACCTATAGCTCGTATTATATTCTATAAACTGTTTGCATTACATGCATGCTCATTATACTATTATTGTATATATTTATATTGTATTAAGGAGAAGAATTCATAGGTATGATTTACTTGTGTCTAATCCATTTGGCTTTAATTTAGCAAATAAAATATGTTTAAACTAAACACCCCTATATAATCAACTAAAATTATTCAATTTCAAAGCGACCTAAATATTTGACCTTAAGTTTTTTCATGCGAACTATGTATGTCCTGAATTGTACAAGTATTGCACTTTCTTTATGGCAATTTCAAACATTTTAAAAAGTTTTGTAGTGATATTAAAAAACATTGATCTAAATATTTTTTTCGTGTTCTTAAATTATATATTTTGATACCTTGGTTTTCTACTCCTGGATCCATCTGATTGACCACCACTTTCATCATCAGAGCTAGAAAAATATACTTTTTTATTATTAATTGTTTTGGCTTTTAACTAGCTGTCAGTAACTGCGAGTACTCTCAAATCGTACTTTCTTGTTTATTTGAACTGTTGATACTAATTGTAATGCTTTTTTGTTATTTAATGTTATTCAGGGTTATATCTGGTCTATATACCAGCTTTGGTAAGTGTTTGGTACTACTATTAATTTTCATTTCGTACTATGAACAGCAAAATCATTTATTTTGTAAAAATATGTCCTTTCTCTATTGGAACTGTACACGTATACCTAACAACAAAATTATTTTCATTTACCTGTGTTTAAAGTTATTGCAAATGGCTGATATTTTTGTTCGAGCATATTGTTTTTCTTAAATTGTTTAAACATTTCATACCGATATAACATGTTACTTTTATTATTCTTCCCTTAGTTTATTTATTTTGTATTTGCATTGTATCATAGGTCAAATTTATTTGTTCAGTGTATGTTCACTCGTGTAAATGTGTCCTTTGATTGAGTTAAGCTATTTCAGTTGATATTTTATAGTGTGTCTTTCTATGTTGTGATGTTAAACTATTGTTTCAGAAAAAGGGTGAAGGTTTGGTACCATTAAAACGTTTAAACCCGCTGCATTTGTTTGCACCTGTCCTAAGTCAGGAATCTGATGTTCAGTAGTTGTCGTTTGTTGATGTGGTTCATAAGTGTTTCTCGTTTCTCGTTTTTATATATAGATTAGACCGTTGGTTTTCCCGTTTGAATGGTTTTACACTAGTAATTTTTGGGGCCCTTTATAGCTTACTGTTCGGTGTGAGCCAAGGCTCCGTGTTGAAGACCGTACTTTGACCTATAATGGTTTAAATTTTATAAATTTTGACTTGGATGGAGAGTTGTCTCATTGGCACTCATACCACATCTTCTTATATCTATTGAATTATTAGATTTCTCGTCACTGGCTTGAAAAATATAGAAAAAGCCGTACTTTAATAATTATATTTGTTGTAAACTTGTATATAGATTCTGAACATTACTGTAACATAAAACAAGCTAAAACCGTTTGTTTGTATTCTGGCCATTTTAATATTTGTTTCTTATTCCATGTTCAGTTAAACTAAGAGAATTATGTATTTTCCTTAATCTGTTAATGTTAAACAAGACATTCGTAATCCTATCACATATAAGAGTATGGTGTGGTATGATTGGCTGTGAGATGCCTACCCAATCAGAGATCAATGTAAACATGCATACACTATAAATTCAATAAAGATAAATACTACACCATATATAGAAACCATATATACAGTTACAGGAAACAGTTTCTATGGCTTATCTGTAAAACCTACATCATCTTTGCCGATACAAGTACAAATGTAATAGAGGAACTCCCCCAAATCGCCCGAAAACGACATGTCTTACTCTATCCATAGAAGCATTATATTGACGTCAATATAATACTTCAATGCTTTATCGAAAGTTCAGTTATTGTTCCTTTTAAGAGAAAATCATTGTTCATTCAGAAGTGCCTGTATTGTTCGCATGAATACTTTAATTAACGTTAATAACTTACTATTTGCGATGTGGTTTTGATTTCTCTTTCCTGCTAAAAATTAAAAAAAAACTTGTATATACTCGCTATTGGTTTACGCATATTTATGAAGCTGATATGGTCCAAATACTTGTAAAATATCTATACATGTAGTGACTTTGGCAACTGGTTTAATTCTACAGAAGGAAACAGTTGCTTTCCAATTTATCTGTAATCGAACTTCCCGTGATTTTTAAACGCGGTGTAATAGAACTAATTATTAAAGTTAAATGATGCCTAACTTATGGAATGTATATAAATATTAAATATTTCATAAAAATTTCATAACTTCACCACTAATTGCTGAAAGTTGTAGTCAATGATGAATCACAAAATTCCGTCTCAATTTTTTTTCGAGGTTGTCGTTTTATTTGTATGATAAATAATTATCAATTATAGATTGATTGATTGGTGTTAAATGTCTATTTCAGCACTATTGGCTATTTCATGGCGGCAGGGTTTCCCCCGGGTCGATTTTCTTTTTCGCCACCTCTTTCGCCAAAACAACATATTTTTCGCCACTTTCAATTTTTTTTCGCCAACTAAAATATTTTTCGTTTTAAATTTTCCTTCTTTTTAACAAAAAGATATCAGTTAGCCACATTGTTGCCTATTATAATTCTAAATGTCTTTTTTTAGTCTACATTGTAATAAATTCACACTCAATAATAACAAACATTTACATTTTAAAATACACAGTAAATTGCAATATAGATAATGAAATCATCATTTAATTTTTACTTCTGCCGGGGAATACGGGATTCATCGTTAATAATTTTATGAGAAACTTCCCGTCAAGTTGAAGGATATACACTAAATTCGGAGATTTTTTCTGACTTTTTAGTATTTTTCTTCATAACAACAGTTTTCTTTTCCGGACCATCGTGCGTCGCTAAAACGATTGTGAGGTACGCATGCATTTGAAAACAATAATTTCTATCAAAGTTTAAAAAAAATCCATTAGGTAACATGAGGTGCCATTTAACCACACCATTTCATTAAACAATACAATCAACACCTTGTATTAATTATAATCCATTGTTGCCGATAGCTATATCAAAGTACTGAAGTACTGAACATCGGATGACCGCAAGTTCTTGTGGATGGTCACAAGCACTTGTCTCAGAAAAAAAAATCACATCTCTATGCCTGAAAGTGAGGTTAAGGTACATAGATATATTTTTTTCTAAGACAAGTTCGTGCGTGGATGATAAATAAATGACGGAATTCAACCTCACCGTAATAACTATTATATTGTAGTGATACAAATCAGTATACTCTGGTTTGTTGTTATATATCATATTAATATTTGTATATAACAGCTACATGTATATATAATTTTCATCCATTTCTATATCATCCTATTCTCCTATTCTGACAATAGTGCAGTGCAAGTGCATGGTGGACACCTCTTCTGTAATAATTCGATTTTTCTAATAGATTGGATTTGAGTAGGCATTCATATTTTCCCACAAAACGTACTTGAGATATTCTTCCGCATGCGTTAACACAAATTTTCGGTATTCTTGATTTGTTATTGATATATATAAATTTCTTACGACAAAACATGATATCATTAATCTACGTTCATAAAAATTATTTGCATGAATGTTTATTGTTGAAATTGATATATAACAAGCGATAAGGAATGTTATTTTGCGTTCGGTTATCAGTAAAAAACGAAAGTCACGTGGGTAGAAATGTCTGTGGCAACAATACACCGGAATGCCCTCACAGTCATCCGATGTAAAAATGCAATCAGCTGATTAATCAAAATCGTAACGAGGTCAAGGTGATTTCTCAGTATTGTCTGATCAGGAAAAAATCAGAGAAACCCAAGATGGACGAAGTCGAACCGTTATATTTCTTTCGCCAAATTCTTTCGCCAATAAGGAATTTTAATCGCCACAATTTTTATTTTTTTTCGCAAAATGCGAAAATGGACGCCAGCGGAAACCCTGCATGGCGGTCAGTTTTTATTGGTGGAAGAAGCCGGACTGCCAGGAGAGAACCACTGACGTTTGGCAGGAAACTGACAATCCTTGTCAGTTAAGATCGGTTTCGAGCGAACCTTTCACGTACGGGGTCCGAACTCGCAACCTCATTGTTCACAAGCTAGTGAAACAGAAGTTAACTACCAAACACTCGACAACTCGACCACCGAGTCCCATCAATAATAGACGAAGTATTCTTTGACATTGTACTGAATTACGTTTCTCACAATTACCTTGGCTTTCTTGATCTACTCGTTGAACCATCTGATAAACCGCCGCTTTCATCATCGGAACTGGAAAATATATAATTGAGTACTTGTAATAGTTGTAAAATTGAGAAGTAGAAAAGCCGTGTAATTGTGTTAGTTAACATGTATTAGGAATACAGACAAGTCATATACAAAACAAATTGAATACATAAAACAAGCTAAAAACTTTTTTTCAGTATTCTGGTCATTTTAATTTTTGCTTCTTATTCTATGTTCAGCCAAACTAACAAGACATTCGTATTAGCCAAATAAATCCAATAAACATAAAAGTATGATGTGGTATGATTTGCCCATCAGAGATCACGTGGGCGTAAGCATACATCATAAATTCAACAAAGGTAAAACTACACAATAGAAACATTGCAACGGATATAAACATATACATAAAATTTATGAGAAACAGGTATACAGTTACAGTTTCGATCGTATCTGTAAAATCTTTAGCTATCTTTGCCAATAAATCATATCATGGAGGAACTCTCTTAATCGACCAGGAAACTTTGGATTTCATTCCGTGTCTTTCTCTATCGAAAGTTAAGTTATTGTTCCTTTTCAGATAAAATTACTGTTCATTCATTAGTGCCTGTATCGTTCGCTTGAATCCTTTAATTAACGTTAATAACATTAAACTTACCATTTGCGATAGTGTTTCGATTTCTCTTTCCTGTTAGAATAAAATAAAAATGTGTATATACATGTATTTATTAAAGTTGAGCATACACGTGTTTTCTATTATGTAAACAATCACACGTGATTGTGTGTCCGCATAGTGGTCATCTATTGGTGTTTATATTGGATAAACAGGTTTGTGTTTTAAATATATGATATTTCGGATTGGTCAATATTTGTCGCGTTGCGTGAATATATTGAGTATGATATTTGTTATGTAAATAGCACGGGATTTTTAAAGCGCGAATAGTTGTCTTGTTTAAGTAATTTAAGGTATATGGTCATTCGAAGCTCGTATACCGTTCAGTAAGGCAGCTTAGTTTAGGTTAAGATATGTCCGAACCAGTACTCGATCTGAATGAAGAAGATTTGTTAAGGACCCCTTACATGGTCAGCCCGAACGTCTGGACGCTTCCAATTCACAAGCTAATCAACAAAACCGTGACTTAGTAGACACTTTTGGGCTTTTTAAAGACTATTTGGATAAGAAACTTGTTGATTTAAAGTCCGACATTCTGTCAGAACAAGACAATTTATCCAAGAAATACAGAGATGAGGCTAATATTAAGTTCAAATCAGAAGGGAATCGGATTCAGTTTCGTTTTAAAGAGAACATTATGGATGGTCTTAACAAAATCCGCAAGGATCTTGTATCTGTTGCTTCCCCCCTTTCTCCTATTACTGGTGATTTGGTGGGTAAACTTAAAGAAAGGAACAAACTCATCAGGATCGCTGATAACTCCACTGGGGGATGGGTTACGGTTAGAGAATATGAAAGTAACGATATCGCCGAAAATGATGAGGACGAGAAAAAGATTCGCCAGGCCGAGACTAGAGCCCTCAAAACACTCAACTTCAAGTCAGCCACAGCTTCTGCACCCAGTTACCAGCCATCCAAACAGCAATGATACAGTTACTGTTAATGATAAGTATCTAGATATAAGTTTGTTATCTTCTAGCTATGAATGCAATAACGACGAACTTGACGAATTTATGTCACAAGTTCAATTTCTTGAAAAATTAGATTTTTCTGCTAGTCATAACTTTAAAGGTGTTAAAGGCAGGCTTGCAAAACATTACGATTTTTGGGTTAAGATTGGAGCTAGTGATTTTGTTTTAGATACAATTAAAAACGGTTATGTAATCCCATTTTAGTGCCTCCCCCTAGTATGCACATGAAAAACAATAAATCTGCTGTTTCTAACTCAGAATTTGTGGATAAAGCCGTTTTAGAATTAGTTGATTCTGGATGTGCATATGAAATTCCCTTTACGCCTTATATTGTTAATCCTTTATCAGTAGCCACCAATAAGTCCGGAAAAAAGAGGTTAATATTGGATCTTTCAATTTTAAATAAATCCGTCAAAAAAGAGAGATTTAAATTTGAAGACTGGAAGTCTATAGATGAAATTTTAGACAGATTTTTGTTTTTCTCTGCTAGGCAATTAGCTCAAGTGACTGGTAAGATTATTTCTTTATCACCAGTGTTCGAAAATTTGACTAGATTGATGACAAGATATTGTTACTTGTGCATCGTGCAAAGATTGAGCTGGGATAAATTATTACAAATAGTTTATCCAGCTGAGATTTTGAATGAGCTTAAGTTCTGGAAATCTAATGTGCTTACTTTGAATGCTAAAGGGTCTTTGATTGTCCCACGATGGGTGTCTGTGCCATTCTGGTCATATATTTTTAATAAAAACTTGACTTACAAAGCTTATGTTAAAGATGTGCTAGAATTTAAAGAAACGAATAGAATCTATTCAAAAGGAAGTAGTCCGAAGTGTATCTTTGGAACTGAAAAATTTTTATCAACTGTTCTCGCAGTTAGACTTAGACGCTAGTCTGTGATTTTTCACATGGTCCTGATATCAATTTCGGTATTGCAGAGGCATGGTGAATGAGATTTTACGTTGTACATATGACTCAGTTGAGAATGTAAAAGATGAAGGATTTTTAGCGACATGGCCCTAGTATCATATGTTGTAGTATGATATTGTAGTAGGCACGGTTGAATGGTTAATGTCATATGCATTTTATTATGATAATTTATATGAATACTTGTTTAATTTTCCTTTATTGGGTAACACATTTTTCAGATGTTTTCAAAACCGGAAGATGGATTGATATTAGTTCTTTTCGTCAGTCACAATCTCCATCCATGCAGCTCCTTGTAGACCAGATACCTTCCTTTTGTTTGTCATCTAGAGCACCCAACACTCAACGACAGTATAGATATGTTTTCAACGCTTTTTGTAAGTGGTGTTTATCTATTAATATTTCAAACACGTTACCTGCTTCAGTTATTTCTGTCGCATCGTATTTAGTTTATTTGACTAATATTGGTAAATCTACTAGCAGCATAAATGAAGCTTTTTATGCTATAAGTTGGGCTCATAGATTAGCCGGAGTTGAAAATCCGTGTAATTCGGATTTGGTTATTTCTGTGATGGAAGGATCTTTGAGATCTGTTGGACACATTGTGGTTAAGAAAGAACCTATGACACCAGAAATTTTGTATCAAATTGTTATGCTTTATGGTAACGATAAATCTAATCTTAAGATGTTAGAATAGCATGTATGTGCCTTATAAGTTTTGCTGGATTTTTGAGGTGTTCAGAATTAGCAAATCTGACAAGAATTAATATTGTTTTTCATGATTCGTACATCGTTTTACCGATAGAGAGTAGTAAAACTGATATTTACCGTGAGGGTAGAGATGTACTCATTTCAAAAACGGACAAAATTACATGTCCCGTTAAAATGTTGATGAAATATTAGATTTAGCAAACATCAAGTCAGACAGTAATGATTTGATTTTTCGTCCTTTACCTTTTTGTAAATCTGTAAATGGTTACAAATTAAGAAATGGGAAGCTTTCTTATACTACTGCAAGAGAAATTCTGTTATCTACTTTAACATCTATTGAATTAGACAAAAAGTATTTTGGTTTGCATAGTTTGAGGTCCGGAGGCGCCACTGCTGCTGCAAACGCGCATGTGGAAGATCGAATCTTCAAAAAACATGGTCACTGGAAATCAGACCGGGCTAAGGACGGATATGTCAAAGAGAACATCAGTGAACGTCTGACAGTAACTAAAAATTTAGGAATTTAAAAACACACATTTGCGCCTTTCTTTGTTTTGTCGAAAATAGCTGCACATGCTGGCGAGCTATTCCTATGTAACAAGTGTTTGTTTTTATTTTATAAATACTTTATATGCGTTTGAGGTGACGAATTAGAATATAAATGTATTTATTAAAGTTGAGCATACACGTGTTTTCTATTATGTAAACAATCACACGTGATTGTGTGTCCGCATAGTGGTCATCTATTGGTGTTTATATTGGATAAACAGGTTAATTTGTGTTTTAAACATATGATATTTTGGATTGGTCAATATTTGTCGCGTTGCGTAAATATATTGAGTATGATATTTGTTATGTAAATAGCACGGGATTTTTAAAGCGCGAATAGTTGTCTTGTTTAAGTAATTTAAGGTATATGGTCATTCGAAGCTCGTATACCGTTCAGTAAGGCAGCTTAGTTTAGGTTAAGACCCCTCTCCCCCCTCTCGTATTAAGATGCTTGTATATTTGAAATGTTTTCACGCATAGATAGATTGATATTTATACTATCAGTAGGACATTGTTTGTTTGATTATTAAGATTTATATGTATATATGATTTCTGATTTTGTTTTTCTATTTTGTAGGCTGTCGTGTACTACGCAGCGGTGTTGCCGATATCATGACATCGGGACTCAATATTTTGTTTTAATAAAATTTAACAGTAAGCTGCACATGCTGGCGAGCTATTCCTATGTAACAAGTGTTTGTTTTTATTTTATAAATACTTTATATGCGTTTGAGGTGACGAATTAGAATATAATCACTATTGGTTAACACAAATTTCTGAAGGTGAAATGGTCCGAATACTATTAAATATTTCTGCATGTAGTGATCATTTAACATTTAAAAGTAACCTGTTACTTAAATTGCAACAGTAATTGAACTTCCAATGGGATTTTTAACTCGGTGTAAGAGAATTAATTATTAAAGTTAAATGATCTCTAACTTATGGAATCGTATATGAATATATTATTAACATTTCATAACTTTACAACTAATTGCTGAAAATTGTAGCCAATGATAAATCGCAAAGTATAGTCTCAATTTTTTTTCAAAGTTATCGTCTCTTTTGAAAGATGAATGATTATCAATAATAGATGGGGTACGTGAACTGCAGTTTTCAAAGTTACCTGGGCTTTCTTGATCTACTCATTGATCTCTCTGATAAACCAACTTTTTCATCATCACAACTGGAAAATATACAATTGAATAATTATATTTGTTGTTTATTTGAGAAGTAGAAAAGCTGTGTAAGTATGTTTATCTGACCTCCTATATATTTCTAGGAATATCGTTGGTTAAAAGCGAACAGGTGTAGACCCTGTATATTTAATATTGGGTTAGTATTTTAATACACGGTTATTTAAATAGCGTTACGTCCTTTTATAAAAACAACATGACGTTGAAGAAAAATGTCAAACGTTTCGCCCAGACAACAGATGTAGAAATTGATGATAAACGATTGAAAATAAAAGCAGATATGTTTTACTTCACTTTTATTTCTTTAATAGGCCACTATATAGTCTGAATTCTAAATGTTAAGATAGTCGGTAAGATAAATTCGTTACACAGTGTACTAGTGACCTATTACGATATATACGGGAATAATAAATTTAATATGGGGTTCAAGCTTCGATAACTTTGCATAAATCCTTTTATTAACATAAATAACTTACCCTTTTCGATGGTGTTTCGATTTCTCTTTCCTGTTGAAATAACAAAAACGTGTTACGGTATACTCACTGTTGATTTACGCATATTTATGAAACTAAAATGGCCCAAATACTTTTTTTAAGTATATCATGTCAACTGGTTTAATTTTATATTATGGAACCAGATACTAAACTTAAAATCATTATTCGACCTTATTTGTCATCGAACTTCCAGTTGGATTTTTAAATGCGGTGTAAGAGAATCAATTAATTTAGGTAAAAGGACCTCTAAGATTATCGAATGAATATCATATATCATTAAAATTTCATAACTTCACTACTAATTGCTGAAGGATGCAACCAATAACTATTTTCAAAATATAGTCTTAAAATGTTTTTCGAAAATATTGTTTTTTTAATAACGGACTCTTATCAATAATAGATAAGTAATCATCGACATTTGTAGTAAACTACAGTTTGCACATGTACCTCGGTTTTCTTGATCTTCCCCTTGATCCATCTGATAAACCATCGCTTTCATCATCAGAACTACAAAAAAATGCAATTATTTCCATTTAAACATTATGTATTTTTTGTACTTTAGAATTAGAAATCGTCTGGAAAGGAAATACGTAGATGTAGCTTGGCAGTTGCCTTCGACCGATATAGTGTCGTTCATATAACGATTTCATTCAACAATGTATGCCATTTTTTGTCGTATAGGATTATAAATCGTTCGGATAAAAATAACAATTGCTTCGTCCATAACACGTTTTCATTCTACAATTTATTACATGAAACTTACAATAAGTGTATGATATTTGCCGTTGATATTCTTAAGATATGCTTAAAATGACATTTTGAAAAGTAACGAAAAGCGTGTGTATACCTTGAGTCGCTGCTTGATTTTTCGGAACTGCTGCTACTACTGCTACTACTGCTGCTGCTACTTGAACTCTTAGATTTCCTGTCAAGTAAAATAGTGTCATATTACAAAGACTGTTATGTATATCAAAGAGATAATTCAAATGTATGACGACGAATTATTTGTTGTAGAAACCAATAAAAACAGTCGCGTATAAAAAATAAATTTTAAAAATGGTCAGCAAAATATAATGTGGAGAAATAGGAAGACAAATCAATATAAAACTACTGAATATGATCAACCATTTTTCCTTTGTATAGGAAATGTGGAAATATACGATACGGTCATGTTTGGTAAAAGTATGAACAGTTAAAATACTCGCACAACAAAATTCCTAATGACTTAAATGGGATATTGAATAAATATATCACTGTATTCAACTATCGTCCTATTTGTTGGATACACAAAAATATTCAAGACTTTTCTTGTAGAAGAAGTGTGCTCCAAAAATTCATTTCAATGGTGATACCATGGAATGAAAGACGCAATTGCATATTTCGAACATTTTATTTTTCATTTAATGATAACATATGACGTATACATATTTCCGTAAATTAGTAAGAGGAAGTGCTTGGATTTTAATGTTATATTTAACATTGCCATAAAAGCGGGAGGTTTGGCTAGCCACAAAACCAGGTTCAACCCACCTGTACCAAGTCAGGAAAATGGCCATTGTTATATTACAGTTCGTTTCTGTGTGTGTTACATTTTAATGTTGTGTTTCTGTTGTGTCGTAGTTCGCCTCTTATATTTGATGTGTTTCCCTCAGTTTTAGTTTGTAACCCGGATTTGTTTTTTTCTCAATCGATTTATGAATTTCGAACAGCGGTATACTACTGTTGCCTTTATTGGATACATTTTTTCTTTGTGTTCCTATTTCAAGGTTAAAAGTTATTGCTTTTTATCTTTTATTGTATATCCAGAGATTCTAAAGAACACAAATATGTGCACCGTCGAATAAGTCAAATATTTTGCGATTTCAAAATATCTATATTTCTTTAGAAAACTTACCATTTGCGACGTTGCTTTGATTTTTCTTTTCTGCAAAAAAAAATATTTGAATAATTCAGACTAAAGTCTTGTTTATATCATTTGAAAACAAGTTTAAACGAAACGTGTGACTACATCATAACTTTTGGCTGTTTCTGGCGTTCACGATAAAGAAAACCATGAAAAGTTCAAATGCTGTATGATTAATTTTCATTATAGAAACACTCCTTTTTAGCGATTGATTTGTACAGTTAAATTAATCACATTTTCATAGATCAAAAAAAGTTAAAATAAAAATACACCTTTATGCTAATTATCGGTACAATTCATAAAATTTTGTGTTGTATGATATTATAGGAAATCATTGCCAAAGCGTGTTCTTTTATTATTGTGTACAAATGTTCTCATTTGTATTGAATTTTCCTGGTCTTGTTTTAGTCTCTGGATTTTTTTTCTCTCCATTATTGATTGCAAAGGTCCAAAACAATTATTTAAAGGGTGTACGGGTTCGAATATTTTCTGATAATTTATCAGCAAATTTAACATAAGTTTCAAATGAACATACTTTTGTTTAGATTTAGACTTGATTGCAATATAAAGGACACTTCCGTCTGTTTTCTCCAGAGATGTTCTGCTAAGCTGAAGTGAGTCGTTGAACAATCTTTCTTCTGGTTTATTATAAATATAGTGCATGAGCAATCTTTGTGCTAAGGCAATGGCGTAGATCTCGGAATCTTTCATAACATCGATAGCGTCGTCACGAATAAGGTCCTCTTCTACACACCCAATCACTACCATTTGATCAAATCCTTTCTCCTCCCAGAACTTCTTCCGGTCTTTCATTTCTTTCTTTTGCCATGTTTTTCTGTCCATGAAAGTAAACGTACTATCATCTTTTGACTTGACGGGAATGTGACCAAGAACAAACTGCAGTACTTCTCCTTTGTTGTCGAAATATTTTAGGACTTCATCTGTAACTTCTCTTAGTCTTGTAAATGTTTCATCAAAAGTTATGTAATGTAACTCATGTTTTTTCTTCTTTTCACAATCACAAGAATTGTATAGTTTTGCAAGGCGAAATTTAGTTGAAGACATTTTGTTCTAGTTTTCACCTGGACCAATGAAGAAAGAAAAGAAATAGACAAATTGCTGCAGATTTTTTTTAGATTACCACAATTCTTATAAACTGTATTGAGAAAGGTTGGTTAATTACAGGTGAAATAGTTGCTTATTATTACACGTCAAAATGTTAATGGCTTGAAATTTATATGAGCAAAAGAGATGTTTGTGCGTGTGTGTGTTGGGGGGGGGGGGGGGGGGGATTACGTTAATGTGATTGCAATGCCACGTACAAGTTATTTATGTACAATCTGTAATCTGTAATAATATACGAATGAAACAGATAGAATGACACCAATTGAAACCTTTCTTTGTGATTGATTAGAGACAAAAGTTTGATTATGCCTTGTGCTGTCTTTTATTTCCTTGATTGTGCTGGTTTAACCCGAACTCATTTTGTGTCTTTACCCAGTTAGGCTGTTTATCACTTGTTTTTCGATTTTGTCTCAGTTTCACAGGAGTCGGGTACAGATGGTTTTTGGTGTTAAAATAATTAAATGAATAAAATATTGTACCTGAACGGTAGTACATTCACTTGGTATAACTATACATGAAATATTTGCCACTGGACGTTACTTCTCAAAATTTGACTTTATAATCTCAGTCTTGATTCGGTTTCTGGGGATTTATAATTTGGTTAAGCAAATACGACATGTATGCATAATATGAACTGTTGATTTCTGTGTTTAATTGTATGTATGCAAGTCTTGATATGTATGTATTGTTGAGTGTACATTTGTTTTGTCGCTTATAAAAGCTCTTCAGAGCTTATGTTTGTACTTGCCTTGCATATAACGACCTTAAAGCTTTATGTCTCATGTCTTATGTCTATTATGTTGTTATAATCTAAATTAAATTACATAATAGAAAAGAAAGGATATGGGGTATCTATCCATGCCACAAATTCAGTACATGCACAGCAAAAAACACAAAAAGCAAAGGAACAGCTTTAAAAACTATGGTACTGTATATTATAGAATTTATTATTGATTTCTGAATATTGACCTCTAGATTTCTTTTAGTTGTTTTTGTCGTTGGGTTGTTGTCTAATTTACGTATACCCCACATCTTCATGTTCTTACTTAATATGACAAAATACAAATACATCTTCATAGATGTATGACAGACTCATTCCTTTTAGAAATATGTAAAATATAAATTAAACTGCTTGGTAACCAATTTCAGACAACAACAGAGCACGTTGAAATAATGATTGACGCCAAGTTAAGAACATAGTATGTTGAATTCATTAAAGGGAGATAATTAAAAAAAAAAGAATATTGTTGATTTGCCAATGTGTATACGGTTATGTTAATTAAATTGAAGAATCAAACTGCAGAGCGTACAAAAGAATATATCAAACATGCAATATACTAAAAGAATGACTGTTTTACCTGACAAATATCAAGGTTCGTTCGAAAAATCAGTAAAGAATATTTACAAACATCGTACGTTGTCAATATAAACATATAAGGTTATTTTTAAATATCCATCGATTAACTTACCTGTGTCAGTGAATAGTTTTTCGAGGCGGTTAAAATCTAAATCATGTAGTCATAAAGTCATATAAATTTTCAGTCGACCAGGTTACCAAGGCATGGTATTCTCTTATATTTCATCACTAACGTTATTTTATAATGATATCATTAATATTATTCTAAAAAGTGAAATAAAGATAATGTTATGATATGTATTGTCCGCGTTTAAATACAAGGGCGCGTAATAGACAGTTTAGCCTTCTGCTGAAGTAATTGATAGACGGGCGTAATTAAAAAAATTCGGATATAAAAACATTCAACAATTTTACAATTTTAATGATATCATAGCTATTATACACCTATTGACTGGGTGTGAGGGTAATAGCAAGTTTGTTGTCCCTGAGATACTAACTATTGCTCGAGGCGAAGCCGAGGGCAATAGTTGGTATGCGAAGGGACAACAAACTTGCTATTACCCGCACAACCAGTCATTAGGTGTTTTATTATACTGAACAACACAATCATTAAGTGTTTATTATACCAAACTAACTAACTTTCTAAAAGTGTACATAATTATATCATCTGAAAGAAAAGAAAAATGTCACATAACTTGACATGCACAAGATGAACTATACGTTTGTTTTTATAGTCCGTGTTGTATTTGTAAATATTTCATTAATTGCAATCAAGACAAGAAAACTTTCCGTGCATATAATAAATTCTAGCTAAAGTACACCAAACGCAAATACAGGTCTAGAAGACGACGATACACCCATATTATAAATTAAGTACTATATTTTAGATCTTTAAAAAATGCGCCGCAAAGATTTCCTTTCTCTTTTATAATTGCACCTTGTAAGTGAAATTACGATCGACACAACCATATTATACTGTTTACGATATTAGAGTTTCACGTTGCCAAGCACACAAAATCCAAGCAGAATAGTTAATGACGTCATTATTGTCCAATGAAAAATAAGCATGAAAAAGTACGGGAAATATGATTATATAACTATTAACCGGGGTAATAGTCTTTGAAACTATTGACTGGCAAATAGTCTGTGGAATGAAATAGCACAACTATTTCATTATTTTTTATATACAAAAAACATACTGAGGTATAATAAATGTTTCTATTCAATTTTCAGTCATGATTACCAATTGAATGCGGATATCTTATTGAAATTATAACTGTAAAATTGACTAAGATGGCATAATTTACATCTGTTTCTATGATAATTAAAAGTTTAATACATCTGCATATTTTTTAATACACAAATTATAGTAATATGGACTTCAAACGCATAATGTCTGCTAATCGTTGGTGGAAATCAATTTTGATCTCTCGTTTGTTTCACATTCATTCATGTCAGAACTTTTTCTTACCGAACTATACGGTATTGGTTTTGCTCATTGTTGAAGGAATAAAAAAGGAGATGCAGTTTGCTTGCTAGTGAGACAACTATCCACCAGAGACCAAATGACGAAGATGTAAGTAACTACACTCTTCAACAATAAGCGTAACCCATATCGTATATTCGGATATAAAATGCCCCGACATGACAACATGCAAACTGTCTCATTTATGACAAAACAATCCCAAACGAAAAACAAATATAACATACAGCAACCAACAACAACCACTGTATGACAGGTATCTCTTATCCGTGGCTACTCTTTCATAGTAGCTCACATCCGTGTCATTTGGACTCTGATGGATAGAAGTCTCATTAGAAATGATACCGCATCTCCTTATCTTTATATTCATCAGTTCCTTAACTTTGAAAAAGTCCACGGAAAGATAAAAGATTAATCTGATAAAAGCTTTAATTGTGCATCCTTGCCTCTGGTCACAGTATTTTGAACAACAATTCTTACAAAATTCATAATACATAAGAAAAGATGAGTTTACATACTAAAATAACTTTGAGCAACTATAACTGCTGAAACTGATAAGTTGTGTGCCTCCCTTACTAATAAATTTGTTTGATTTCCTTTGACACATTATAATAGTTAGATTTTAGCATAATTTATTAATTATCTTATTTCTTGTAATTTTTACTACAAATAGAGAAGTCGAACTGATTCCCCTTTAAAATTCTGCCTAATTCCCGTGGCCTCTTTTTTTTATCTTGAAAATGCATGAATTATAAAAACAAATATACAATATATTATGTACATTGTTGGAAAATATGAAATGTTTTTGTCCGAACTTTACAAACAGGACGAAAAGCGATGCTCGCCGAGCTTTTCTTCTGTTTCGTAGCGAATACAAATAAATTTTACACTTCCAACAGTGTACATGTATTGTTTTTTATCCTGTATTTACACCTGCACTTTAATGTTTAGTTGTTTAAATCCAAATAGTTGTCTCTAATTTTTCAAAGAAATCGACATAGTTTAAGCGCGGACCGCGAAGAGGACCCCACAATGAACTGTCACACAAAAAGTAATATCGAGTCATATTACCGTTTGCTGAAAGTGGAAGCGGAGTAACAGGAGACTTCATTTGAACAAGTACAAATAAAGCAAAAAAAATATTTGTGTACATGTTTGTTATTTGTACAATAGTTGGCTGATTGCAGGATAAAAATGTGTATGTTATCTTTGGCTACTCTACCCTTTCACGAAATATTTTCATGTGTTTTATGGACATTCTTTTTTCAAAATTTCTCATTTCTATTTTGATATTTCCTACTTCCGACTTGAAATTTGTCACTTCGAAGTGATATTTCTCAGTTCCATGTTGATATTTGTCAATACCTACTTAGAACAGAGAAATGTCAACTTTGAACTGAAAAATGATAACGTGGAAGTGATTCGAACTGAGAAATATCAATATGTAACAAAGAAATGTCAATTTGAAACTGAGAAACGTCAATTTGGAAATGAGGAATGTATAGTTTGAAATGAGAAATTTTAACAACATACAGTTACGTATTAATGGCGTAAAGATTATATGAATACCACTAGATGTTGGGTTCACGTTCGTGAGTTGACAACACGACCAAATTCTTAAATGCTACATGAATTAAACATCACATCTTTAATTGGAATTAGATAGAACTTTTTTTTTTTTTATAATTTCTAGTAATGTAATGGTAGAAAAAGAAAACAGGTTGGAGAAATACTGCTTCTTTTAATCCAGAAAAATGATACAAAAAAATCAATAAACTCTATAGTAAATGTGAACACCGTCAATTTTTTTTTCTTATTTCAACTTCCATAATTTGATATAATTAATTTGCAACGCAGCATTTTCTCCATTGTTTATTTGTGGACTCCATGTTGGATGCCACAAATGTCTGGCCTGCCAAAAATCTCTAACAACGAAATCCGACGCATCCCTCCAAGGTTTTGGATATGGAAAATTCATCCACGTGTCTGGAAAAAATGTAGTGCCACCAACAGCAACATCCAAAACGAGGTAAAACTTAAAAGATATAATTGGTAGATTAATATGTCTACATCAACAATAGAAACATAAGTATTTCTAACTATATATTGTGTTATTATTTGTCATTAGAGTTATCATGGTTGTAGGATTATTGATATTTTGTGTAATTTAATTTCATACTAGTAAACTACGTATGTTAACTTTATTAGTATGTTTTAATTGCACCGTAAATATATCGTAATAAACGTACTTCGTTCAAACAATGGTATCACTATTTCATTACTTTTATGTATGTATTCAAGACAATGTTGTTTTTTCGATATAACAATAGAGCAAGCACCAAAATACATTGCCTACAGAATATCACTGTATATTATAGTATGCCATTAAATATGTACCTCCTGATCGAAAGGCGCCATGGTAGATCCTCCAACATTAGCATGCCAAGGGTTTGTCAGTCCTGTTGAGTTTAATCCTCCAATTTCCCAAAAACCTCCTAGATTTGGTTCACTTTTCAAAATTTCTACACCGTCGACAGAAAAACTTAAAAGAAAAAAATATATGATTTCTATAATTATCAGAACTTTACTTAATCTAAGATTTAGCTCCTTTATGATGTTTAAAATCTGTAATCTATATAGAGATGTACATTATGAGAAATTTGTTCAGATGTGCATAGCACACACACACACACACATCACATGTCTAGAGATTTAAGATTTCATTTGATAAATCATATAATTTAACTGAAATTGTGGTTGCAATGCCTTTTACTCATCTTCTACTGTTGTTTTATTTGAGCTTTCTTTGTAATTGATCTACCTAACGTTAAGTGTATATTTTGGCATCTGAAACTTTTGGTCTTGTACTTGCATGAAGACGCACGGTTATTTGTCGTTTGCGCAGATATATATAAGTTTTACATTGTACATAGTATTATCAACTTTGCGAAATTCTATATGATTTTAGTTGTTAAAAATACCTTATGCGTTTTTCATCCCATTCCACAGAGAATTTATGGAACTTGTCTGCAAAAGTGCTGGATGTTAATATCCTGTAAAATAGACATCAATAAATGACCAAGAGAATTGAACAAATTAGAAAACTATTGCAGCATCCTTCAATCAAGAAATAGTGTAAGAGATGTGCTTGACATATCCGAGGAAACTGACATCCGAACAGCAGCCGGTAATTGTCAATTGTCATGAGTCAAATATACATTGGATCCATTCCAGATTTCAATCTTCCTGGGAGCTTCGGATATATTGTAACCTATACATAAGTGATAAATACTTTCCTTTTAAATGGTTTTATATAAACATCTATATATATAAGCTAGTTTACATAGATAGCCTTTCGACAGCCTTTCAGCTTTCTTCTTTTTTTTTTATAAATTATAATATTGGAACAAAATTGCATCAGAAACATCCCGTAACTGAAATAGTAAATAAACTTACTTCTCGACAGTTGCTTTAGCGGTTTGGTCATGTTGTGGATTAGGTCCAAAATGAAGAGAACTTTGAACACTATCAACAGCTTTGGTAACTCCATTTGAGCCTTTATAATTCATGTTTCCTTTAAATAAAACAATAATAAAGATGTGATCGTTAAGATTTCGATTTATAAATGAACATTTCATAATTCCAACACAAAAAGACTGTTAAAGACACGTTATGTTGTTTTCTGAGAAATGTATGTCAATATTTCATAAAGTTTCCTTTTAATATAATAACTTCACCCCCTCCCATTTTTATTTTAAATTCAAAAAATCAATAGTGTTCTTTTGTGTAAAATGAGATTTAGGGTGTACTTTCTTATACTACAACCCTACTTTTCTACACCACTCGAACATACATACATTAAAAAAATGTAACACTGAAATTGAAAGGAATTATCGCATGGTAACTTATTTTGTAAAATATTTTAGTTTAGTTGTTTACATTTATATATGCAACTATTGATGAGAAAATAAGACGAATACGAAAACAACAAAGGAGCCATTGGAGTCAACATTTAGGTATACCAATAATAATAAGTCCTATCGTATTCCTATTGTCGATTGAAGTGAAATAAAGTTAAAATAACAATATTCTGATCAACCGATAGACGATATACAATTAAAAAAACGTTTAGAAAAAGTACGAAACGATGGGAGCAATGAAAAACCACTAGTCGAAGAAAAAAGACAAGGTTACGGCCCCCCAAAAAGCAAGGTCACGGCCACAATTTAAAAAAAAATAAGTAGACAAACAACAGCCTACACGATATAACAGAGAAAACACAGACAATTAAAGATTGTTTTACACGAACCACACCAAAAACTAGAATTGATTTGAACTACGGTGTTTCGGAATAGTTATCAATTTCCACTGTAACACTACTAGTGGTACCGGGGGCCCGTCGTTTTGCTCGTGACAAGTAAAAATCTGTTTATAAGTCGCATGACAATGCAGATATTGTTTTATTAAAACACAATGATTTTAGATTTGAAGAAATATAAGTCCGATGTTATAAATATTTCAACACTGTGATAAAATTTTGGAAATCGTTTTAAAATCAAATATGGATTGTATCTCCCTCGTGAAAAGCTCTGTTCAGGTTTGACTGTACGATTGGTCATGTTTGGTTTTATCAGTTCTTCAACGTTTGTATAATTTATGGACTTTTAAATACCTATGCCCGAGCAATCATGAACAGACATTTATTGGTACTGTTAATGCTAATAAGAAAGGTGAAAAACATTCAACAAGGCACATCAACTGACCTCTTGCCTCTACTATGTCCATTTCACCGGACGCAGGCCATCTGCCGTAGGAATTCCATTTCGGCAACATCTTGATCGCTGTTTAAAAATGCATAATGATACTAATTATGACCGTGAATTGAACTCAATTTAGTTATTGCATATCGCATAAGAATACATGAAAATTTAGTTTTTATTTAGTCAATCAGAAATTGTTTTTCTTCGATTTTCTGATCCTTTTGATTAAATTTAGTTATGATATGCTAGATGTTTTCACATGCACAGGTTAATGATTCTGACCATGTGCCATATGCTTGAAAAAATTAAATTAAAATTAACAAAAGAAAAATTTTGTAAGACGTCGTTGCAATGTTTCATCTTTATGCTTACTTTTTTGTTGAAAAGGTCAGGCCAATTAAAGCTATCTATACACATTCATTACAAAACCTTATGATAATATATGATCTAAAGTCTGCATAATATTTACCAGGCCATATCCAGTCTCCTTTTGGCATTTTGGCTTCGACTTCAACTTTTCCATACTTAAAGCTAAATCCTCTTTTACTACGTAACCGAGCCGACTGAACTGGATTTATTGGATGAGCAACACTTCCGGTTCTTTTACATCCGGAATATGCATTACTGGTACATTCATCATCATTAAATCCACCTAGATATTGATAATACCAATAAATATTGAAATATACAGTGTTTTTAATAAAGAGAAAAAAGACACCTTGAATGCATCTGTTATGGGTTTCTTAACTTATTAAACAAATAAAAGTTAGTAATGAAAAGCTCACAATAAATAAATTGATTTTCATAATGTAAACTTTTTAACGCGATCATTCAAATGAATGCAATTACTTTTAATGAATAGAAATAATTATAAAATTTCCAAGCGGCATGCATAATCGTTATGATGTATTTCCTGTGACTGTACTAGCATCTCAGTATTCATATCTGTAATTGGTCATTGTAATATGTTAATTTTTAGTCGCAGAAGAAAAAACGTTACTCTTTTATATTATAGTTTTTTCACCTTTTCAAAAAATAACATATGTGTATTGTGCAATATATACTAAGGGGACGACCATTTGATATTCTGGGGGGGGGGGGGGGGGGTGGGGGGGGGGGGGGGGTGGGGGGGGGGGGGGGGGGGGCAGGAGGATTTTGAAAATGAATAACTCAGCCTTGATAATCACAAAAATAAATGGTTTGTTCTGTGGTAGTTTGAAAATAAATTACCTGACTTGCAATGTATTGAAAATAAATAACTCTGCAGGTCTAATCGAAAGTATGAGATGGCACCAGATTCTTCATAAATTCATCTTTTTTCCAAAAAAAAAATCGGGAAACACTTCCCATATCTTTTAATAATAAACGTATAATTATTATTTAAATATTCTTGAAATGTCAGAAAATTGGTTTCATTTAACTTGAGGTTAATTGTCTCAGGAACACTTACCTCACTTTTATTAAATCAGGGCCGTAACTACTCATGTAGGAAATTTCAAAACCAAACGCTTGTCTCCATATCAAATTGTGTTCACTGTGAGTGCCTTGCAAGAAGCAAGTTCTGTTCTCCCTCAGACGTAGCCCCTGATTTTTCTGGATCAATGTTTCTTATTTATTTGTCTTTTGTTCATTGATTGCCCTTCTGTATTCTGTTAGTGTTGCATTCATTTTGTAATTTAGTAATTTTATTATTAACTTGATCATGAGTTTAAAAAAACACAGCAGCCACAGACTTAACTATGTGAATTACATTTTTGCTTTATCATGCATATTTGTCTTTTGATGTTGTTCCTAGAAACTTAAGTCTTACACTGAATCTATAACGTGATTTTGCTTTGAGACCAAAATATTGTCATAAAATTATTAAAACAGAACTTGCATTTTCAGTTTAAGAAAGGGTCTGGGGAACACCCAGAAGGCAAGATTTTGCATCATTTGTTCTATAGCTTCTTGGGCCTTCAGCGGTTCAAAAACCCTTCAAAAAAAATTTTGCCTCGCTCAGCTCGGCGAAACATGTTTGCCAATACTTTTAAAAGAGCCTTAGTTACAACCAAACTTTAATACTGTGTATGTATGCAATACATGTATATGCATTGGGGAATATAGAAGATTCATTTCTACAGAGGATAATAATTAATTCTGATTAAATGGTACATAATGACTTGACTATACATGAATTATTTATAATAAACAAATAATTTTAAAATTGTATGTTTTCGAATATTATAAATATAGTTGTGAAAATAAATAATCAGTCCCTTGCTTTAATGAAAATGAAAAATCTTGCTTCAATAGTGCAGAAAATAGATAATCTGTCCTCTTAGTTTACAAAAATAAATAACCGATCCAAAACAAATCCTCCTGCCCCCCCCCCCCCCCCCCCCCCCCCCCCAGAATATCAAATGGTCATCCCCTAATGCCTGTGAACAAATACAATTACGTTACCCCAAAGATCAAGTGTTCCTGATGTCAGAAAATTTTCTCCGTAATGATCAGAGGTCAAAGTCTGAAAATAAATTCCAAGAACGAGAATTATATTTATCTTTCTGGAAAGACTTATTGACAACTTACTCATAAAGTGATATTGATACCTAAAAGTTATATGCTCGATTTTGATTTTGACCTTAGACAGGATGACTGTAAAACAAGAGACTAGTGGTAGAAAAAATAATTAATATAGCCAATGATTAATGATAATAATAGTCCTTATGTACATTAAAAAACAAAAATTGAAAGAGCTTTGTAGTCAAGCTAAGTCTTGTAACAATAAGCTTGTTCTGCATACATTTTCTTTCCTTTTCTAATTATTGAATTTGACGTTGACCAAATATCAGATTTTAGTTTCTTTGACTCATTATTAGTTTTTAGTTTCTTTGACCAAACATTAGTGTTTAGTTTCTTTGACCAAACTTAAGGGTTTAGTTTCCTTGACCAAACATTAGTTTTTAGTTTCTTTGACCAAACATTAGTATTTAGTTTCTTAGACTAAACATTATTTTTAGTTTCTTTAACCAAACATTAGTTTTTAGTTTCTTTGACCAAACGTTAGTATTTAGTTTCTTACCCTAAACATTAGTTTTTAGTTTCTTTGACCAAACATTAGTTTTTAGTTTCATTGACCAAACATTAGTTTTTAGTTTCTTTAACAAAACATTAGTGTTTAGTTTCCTTGACCAAACATTAGTTTTTAGTTTCCTTGACCAAACATTAGTTTTTAGTTTCTCTGACCAAACGTTAGTATTTAGTTTCTTTGACCAAATATTAGTATTTTGTTTCTTTGACCAAACATTAGTTTTTAGTTTCTTCAACCAAACATTAGTTTTTAGTTTCTTCAACCAAACATTAGTTTTTAGTTTCTTCAACCAAACATTAGTTTTAAGTTTCTTTGACCAAACATTAGTTTTAGTTTCTGATTGTAATTATTTCTTTATCTATGTATTGATTTTTTCTCCGTTTATCTTTCTATTTTATGTACGTTTGATTTCAATGTTTTGTACGTTTGATTTCAATGTTTTGTTTTGACGTTCTACCATTAACTATACACGTGTCTTGGGTCTTTTATTTATATTTCTTAATGATATGTATAACAACTTGTGGATATCAAGTTAGTTACTTACTGGTTTAATATACAAGATACCGTTCCTGACATAGCTGTTAGTTCTGTTGCTTGTGTAGTATTGAAATTCTGAATCCTACAATATCTCAAATTTGACAGATCATGTTAATATGGAAGTAACTATCAACAAAATGAAAAGGTTGGAAAATATTTATTAATTGAGTCTACAACCCAACGACACAAAAAATAAAGAAGACATCTAGAGATCCACACATGGTATCCACATATATCAGACTGTTGGGTCTCTCGATTGAATTGTTTCACATCTAGTCATGCCGGTTTTTTTCATAGCTAATTATACGGTATGGGATTTTCTCATTTGTTAAAACCTTACGGAACTTATAATTGCTTACATCCACTTCCTGTTGTCTCATAGGCAATTAGACAGCATCTGATTATTTTTATATAAAAAAAAATATACATGACTTTGTGTCTTTACAATATATTAGTCTATAGAATTGCGCGTCAAGAACACTTGTGAATGAATTTTACATACTCTAAAGATATGCCGTTAACATAAAGTTCTCTAAGAAGCAAACCGATAAAATGAATAACAGAGAAACCCACTGACGAGGTTCATACTCACCCCGTTACCACCAGCTGTTATTTCATGTTCCCAGACACAGTGGTTCAAAATATCAAATTCGTCATCAAATATCAGACAGGGATAGTTTTGACAGGTGTAGTCTGAATAAAGTATTGTTATTGCTTAAGTTAGAACAGAATTAAATAACAGGTAAAATAATAATTAGAAAACAAAACAAGAAATCCTCATCAAGATTCAATTGATTTTACATTGTAATCGAAAGTAGAGATAAGGTGTAATGAAAAGAAACTTAGGGGTGTTCTCATCCTAAAACTAGAATGTTGTTTCTAATAAAGAGACCATCTACAATAATTATTCATAAGAAGGCAATATTTATGGAACAACTGATATTTTAATATATATAGAATTTATTACACTTACAAATCATGTATTTCATTAATTGTATGTAACAACATCTTTTTTTTTCAATTTGTTGAAACACGATTTTGTTTATTTGTATTTAATATAGGACATACCTTTATTACAACAAGACCCCTTGTTCAAAGATCCACCATTTAATCCATTAGCCGTACCAGTCCCATTTTGAACGTTTGAGGTGATGTTGTTTGAACTTGAATTCGAAATTGATCCTGATGTACTATTTGAACTTCCTGTGATGTTTCCCTGTAAAGAATTTCCAGACATGTGATTCGAAGAATTAGTAGAATTTCCAAATGCACTGTGTCCGCTTGAGTTATTATTTGAACTATTAGAATTAGGTACAAAAGTTGTATTGCTAGATGGTACCGAGGGCGTAGAGTATGATGTGTTTGTCCCTCCAATTGAAACTGTGCTATTAGGATTTCCTGATATGGTTGTAATGTTAGAACCAGGAATAAAGGGCTTCATGGTGGATGTGGTTAAAGGGGAAGTGGTAGGGGCATTTGTTGTAGTTGGTGGTAAAGATGTCGTTGATGGTAAAGATGTCGTTGATAGTACAGTTGTCGTTGATGGTATAGGTGTCGTTAATGGTATAGATGTCGTTAATGGTATAGATGTCGTTGATGATACAGTTGTCGTAGATGATATGGTTGTTGATGGTGTGGCTGTCGTTGGTGGTATAGTTGAAGTTGTTGTTATTCCCACCATTGCTGTAAATATATCATTAATCTATGTTGTAATTGAACACATCATTATGCATACTCCATTACGGTACGAGTTTTAAGAAAACAACATAGCTTTGTCAAACTTAAAATATATTCTATTCTAATATAATGTCCTTATTTCGCTTTGTAAACAAAGCCGTGTTCTAATTAGCACAAAATATATTTGACACATGCGCACAAATTTACTATTTACATTCTTGTTATTTTAACTTGTATCCTAATAAAATATATACATTTAAGCTGCTTACATAAAATTTATTATATATTGTTATTCAAACAGCATATATTTACCCTGCAATTAGTTTTTAAACTTATTAAATATGAAAATGTTATGTAGATACTTCATGGGGAGGAAACAGGAACAGACAAACATTTGTAAATTATTTTTTGTACGCTTCAACCTATAAAATACCGTTTTTGTCCTACTAGAATCGAATTTTAACATGGATAGTCATTATATTGGACCATATTTTACACCTCGCTAACGGTCAGTGTAAACGATCGACACATATAATGCCTACCCATGTTAAAATGAGCATAGAGCATGACATGAAGGAATTATTTCTTAATTAGAGCATTAAACAAGATATGAGATACTATAAAAGAACTGTTGAAATCACAATGAAATTTTCTTTTTATTATGATGGGTTTAAATGGTCGTCTTAGCTTAAATAAGAAGTTATTCTCTTATGGTTGTGGCCTGTTATCTATTTCCTTCATGAAGAGGTATTTGTCGTATCACACTGCACGGAGTGTGATAACGAAAAAAAAAAGATACGGGAAAATGTGTCAATTTGATTGGCATATCCAGCATCATGAGACGATATTAGGACATTTCCATTGGCTATTCGTTAGGTCATCGATGACTTTTAAAGTTTAGACGATGTAGGAAAATGTCACATTTTTATTCACAGTAATTGCTTGATGATGAATATATATTTATCTTATATTTGTAAAACACTTACGCCCAAGAGTAATTTTTTGTCCTGTTAATGTTTCTCCTTGTGTATTTTTTTGTCCCCATACCCAGTAATTAACAACATCTCCTTGTTTGGCAGCCACAGGAAAAGTAAATTCCCAATGATCACCTAAATATTTAAAAAGAAAAAAAGAAAAAAAACAATTGCATATTTTTCTTTCGATATTTTCAACATGACATGAACTTGTGCTTCAAGTGCAATGAACATGTTCATGGTATTTTCGATATTCTTAACATGACACGAGCTTGTGTTTCAAGTGGAATGAAAAGATTCGTGATATTTTCGGTATTTTCAACATGACATGAACTTGTGCCTCAAGTGGAATGAAAAGGTTCATGATATTTTCGATATCTTTAACATGAAATGAGCTTTTGTTTCAAGTGGAATGAAAAGATTAATGACTATGAATCTGGTAAGTCGACACTAGTTTCAGTTTTACACTTGTTCAATATGACAACAAGCGATTAATACTTTTGATATTCTACATGACTGTTTGCCGTTTGGGAAAAGTAATCGCTAAAACTTTTTTCATATCATAATTAGATATTTTGAATAAAAAAAACCTTCCATAAGGTTCTTCTACATTGAATAAAACATATTTCTAATTTTTCGCGGCAGGTATACGTCACTACTGCTTCATTTTTCAGAACATGGTTCATCTATGTGGTCTTTACAGTAAACATGTTGAATAACGAAAAGTTACCGTTAATTTTCTACTATTCAATTGTAATAAGATATAAAAATCAAACATAGAACAGGTAACTGTTATTTATTTGACATTCGAAATTGAATAATGATGAAGTGATCTAGTTGATGGCAATGCTTGATGATTGTTAGTAATAAAATAATTAGTTTTATAATTTCATAATTTTCTTGACGGAGGACATAAGAAGTAGTTCCGTCATTCAATTTTAATGAGTAAAGCTAACTGTTTTTCTTGTTAATCACGTTATAACTTATAGATATATTTTATTTATACCTGATTTGATGTCATAACCAAAGAAATCGTGTGTATGATCTCCAGCTTCAATACCATTTAATTGTTTGTTTATATTGAAATGTATTGCACTTCTCTCATATCCTTGAACTGCAAGTTAAAAAATATGACAATGTTACGATACATTAAAAAGTAAAATAACAAAAATATCGAACTCCAAGGTAAATTCAAAACGGAAAGTCCTTTATCAAAGGGCAAAATCAAAAGTTCAAACATATCAAACGAACAGAAAATAACTGTCATGTGTGAGCAAAACAAACAGACATAATAGGTAAACATCTCAATAATTGAGGGTACAGCAGTCAACATTGTGTTATAATCTTAATCACTATAAAAACAAATAACTATTTCAACAAAGAAAAACAAAATGGCATATAGATAATATATAGACAAAGTACATAAACAAGAATGAAAGACAATAATACAAAAATGACCATATAGCATAATAACGCAATGGCGGGATGTATAAATAACGAACCACGCCAAAAGTGTATTACCAAAAAAGGACTAATCAGTAAAGGTTAAAAATATACAAAGACAAATAAAAAGAACGCTATAACAAGTAATTAAAATGATAAACAACGTCAGTACCAAGAATCTATACTTCAAGACCATCATGTATTATTTGCGAAGTTTTAATTACAATGAAGGTTTACTCGTAAAAGTTATTCTTAGTAAAAAAAATGGTATCAAAAAAGGGCATCTTAGCATATTGTTTATTAAACATACCTGGTATGGATACTTTTATACCGTTGGGAACCAGTTGAAAAGTTGGTGATCCAATTCCTCCAGTTAGATGTACAATACTCAAAAAGACAACGAACGAAACTAAAGTTACCACCATCTAAAGCAAAAAATAATAATAGTAATATCTAATTTAATGTTATAGACTTTGGTATAAGCTATTTAGATTAGATATTTGCATAAAACAAGTAAAGATATCCACCGATGTATCGATATTGTTTTAAAGGTCTTAAAAGAAGAAATAATTCAAGCTTCGGGAGCACCTGCTATCCCTCCGCATTTTGGTGGGGTTCGTGCTGCTTAGTATTTAGTTTTCTGTGAAGTGTTGTGTGAACTTAGTCTTTTTCTCTTCGTTCGTTTTTGTCCTGCCGCCTAGGAGACGTGTTAAGTGTTCTATTTCCTGCAGTGTCGGTGGTTGCATCACTAATGTATTAGTTTGAGATAAAGTCAGTTTAAAGGGAACCACTAGTGGTAAGTCAATGATATTTGGTATGCATTTGTCTAAGCACATTGCATTTCCATGATCCAACTTCTAAGTCATAGTCTTTTGTTATTTGGTATGCAGTTGTATAATCATTTCCAGATCTTACATTCATGGAGTCAGTTTGGTGCCGCCTCCTCAGTCATGGTCTTATGTCTTCGAAACTTTTGCATATTTTTCGTGTTAAAGTGTGTATTTAGGTCAGTTCAAAGAAATACTAATGATAAGTCAATGGTATTTGGTATGCAGTTGTATTAGCATTTGTATTTTTCATTTCCATAGAGAGATTATTTGGTCATGTAAACCTTCAGTCATGGTTCATTGACTTTTAATGATTTTAGTAGTTTTCTTGTGAAAGTATTACCATTTTAATTTCAGCATTAGAACTATACTATCTCAATAACATACAGGCGAGACATACCTATAGGTTTGCTGCCGTCAGGTAAGTCCTTGAACCAACGGTTCCTAATGGAACTTTTGAAAGACTCCTAAAAGTTTGAAAGTTTCATTGACGCCATCAGGGCTTGGCAGAGTTTAATGTTATATTTATGTAAAAAATGTATAACAACAATATATAACTCCAAGTTAAATTCAAAAAGGGGAAATCCATAAAAATTGACAAAAACAAACGTTAGACTCTATCAACCACGAAATGAATGGAAAACAGCTGTCATATTCCCAACTTGGTACAGGCATTTTCAAAGGAATCACAGAATCACAGATGAAAAAAATATGTTTTATATGTCGTAATTGTGACACCATCTGTAATATTAAGTCAATGAACAATAGGTAATCCTATAGTCTGGGAAAACACCAAGGTCATCATGGCATCTGTTTACTATCAAATGTAAGTTCTTATCAGATCCTAACTGTTACTAGCTTTATATGAGAACTGTTTCCAGATCAACATCACTTGCGTGCTTTATACTTGACAAGTAAACATGTACAATGTATATAGTTTAGATTAGAATAAAACATATGTATATATTAAAAGAGTATATATTTGCCTCGCCAATATAACATGGTGGCAGCGGTTTAAAACATTTTAGTTACACCGGACAATTCTTTGATTAATCCTGTAGTAGTGCAGTACATTGACTGAAATTATGGCAACAATTCAAGTCGCAGCTCCAGAAAAGTTTGACTTTTGTAAGCCAGAAACGTGGACCAAATGGATCCAAAGATTTGATAGATTCAGATCAGCTTCGGGGCTGGAGGAAAAAAGCAGGAGCTACACAAGTTAACTCTTTAATCTACACGATGGGTCCGGAAGCAGATGATATTTTTGCATCATTTGATTTGTCAGAGGAAAACAAAAAGAAATATGCAAAAGTGAAAGAGCAATTTGACAAGTACTTCATAGTTAGAAGGAATGTTATTTTCGAACGTGCAAAGTTCAATAAGCGGAAACAAGACGACGATGAAGGTGTAGAAAGTTTTGTTACATCTTTATACACATTAACTGAACATTGTGGATATAACGATTTAAGACAAGAAATGATAAGGGACAGAATAGTTGTCGGTATCGAGGATTCCAACTTATCATTGAAAATGCAGCTTGATCCGGAGCTTACTCTTAAGAAAGCAACTGACATGGCCCGCCAATCGGAGACTGTGAAGAAACAGCAGGCTATATTGAGATGTGACAATCCGAACTCTAATGTCGATACAGTTAAATCGAAATTCAACAAAACTAAATTTGTGAAAAAGCAGAAGCAGCCTTTCCATTCACAACAAAAGGGATGCCAAAGATGCGGAAATCGACAATTTCACCCCAGAGA